CAGATATGAAAGAAATCTCTCTGAACCCATTGTTCGCCTACGTGTATATAATACATCGATAGAATGCAAATAATCCGAAACTGAAGTCGCCCATCATCTTCGATATCATTTTGACACTGAGCCACTGCATAAGCCCACCGCACTCAACTAAACACCAAAATGTGTCAAAAAATCTACTCCCACAGCACGGTGTGTGATGTACGCACAATCGTGGTTGGCGAGAATCCTGATGAAGCATATGTCGATCCGTATGCCGAGCCACGGAGTTGCTCTTGCAACAAGCCTGATGCCTGCATTCGGCCTTGGCTGCGATGCTCCTACCACAAGTGCTGTCGGGTCTCTGTTACATGGATTCGTTGCCGTATCGGGAACGGCATCTGCCCAGAGCCCACGCTGTATCACAAGTACGAGCAAGCGAGCAGCGCGAGGAACCTTGCACAAAGCCATACCGACATCAATGCGATCACTCGAAACCGCTGGCCTTCGGTGCCCGTGTTGGACGCTCAATTTGAGTCGATCGGTAAAGGGAAAGGTGAGTTTGTACCCAACTCGGAGCTATTCATTGCCCGCCGTACAATGATGTGCTGTTATGGCCGCCTTAACTTCGAGTCTTTGCTCGATTCCCTTCGCGCACAGCAAGAAATTGAGGACATTCAATCCGAGACTTACTGTGAACATCACGACATTTGCAAGCGGGTCCTCCTGGACTGGGAATGCCCAGCTTCACGAGCCGAGGGAAGAATTCAGGAAATCACCCAGAGGCTCAGACAGCTGGAGCAAAACCGGGCAGGCTACCGGGTCCGGTTCTCCCGCTGGAAGAGCAGGTTGTTGCAGATGATATCTCGAGGTGAGGGTCATTGTGCTGGACTCGTGGCCAACGACGCTAGGGGCCATTTAAAGACTGACCAGAGATGCCTAGGTAAACGTAAGCTACAACTGTCAATCACAGTACCGAAGAACGTCAAGGCCTTCGTCCAGGTCGAGCTGGTCAAGGTGTATATTCCAGCGTCCTGAGACAAGATAATTGAGTGCGAGAAGGCCAAAGTAGGATAGGATAGATCGTTTTTGGTTCACTGAAATATTATACAACGATGTAATCAATTCATTCAATTTACAGCTTACGTCGTGTTCTCTAACCTTTTGCGCATATCCAGTGACTAGCGTTGGAAATTCCTAAGACCCAAATAGAGGAGATAATTACTTCAGGCTTTGCCCGCTAGAGTTATAGTTGGTCTGACCGTTGCATCTCGTCTCCTGCTCTGGCAGGAACCATTCAGTACTCGCTAAATTGACTCACCTCTTCTGTATTCTATCCATGTGCTTGCCTCATTTGAACTGTAACATGCTTGTCGGCTTGCATGTCGTGCTTCGAGTTTGGCATGGATGCAAACAATTGTTTCATGACAATGATAAGTAGAATATGCACGCCCTAACAGTGATCAGCCATGATTAGTTCTTCATTCACGTAATACGATGCCATGTGCAATCTCAAGTTCTTTCAGAAGATAAACGCCAGCTGTGATCGGCAGAAAATAAGGCCGAGCTAATCTGACTATTATCCATCACACTATGATTATCAGGTCAACATAGTAAGATCACATTGCCATTTACTCCACTTTGGCGGCTCCTGACTCAAAGACCGAGGCACTTTACTGCGATGCCGTTGAGACGTGAACAAGTGCCCAACATCTGGAAATTCTTGAGTCTTTCGCCCGATTTATGTTGAGCTACTACGTTTGGCGCCTTGCATGCATTCTATGCGTGGGCTGTGTGATGTTAATCGGCTGATCATGTCGACTGTCGGCTGTGACAGATAGAAACCAATGAAGGCGGCACTGTAGAGGATCGAGCAAGTGGGTTAGTATTTCGTGTATTCGTGGTCGATAGGGATTGGACCTCTTGATGATCCGATTGTGCCGCCTATTTTAGAACCCTGTAATAACCTGGATTGCCTCAAGTGATGATTGGCTGATGCAGTATTGGTTTTGACGAAAGCCTATGCGTATTTTCTCAGGCTTCGCGCTGGCCAGCCACAATGCATGGTATTGACGCCTCCCAAGAGCATAATTGGACCATTCGGTTTCGCGATTACGACCTATCTTTTCCAGACACTCGTGACAGAGATAAAGGAGCGTACTAGGCGTGGCGCTGCTAAGCCTGGGCAATTGAATAAAAACCTTAATCGTGTGGGGTGGCAGTGTGAATACAATACTCAGTAATAGTGCTTCTACTTTGAGATTCCACATCGGTATGCACTGTCCACCCCCCAGAACTAACGAGTGGCAATAGGGGCTAGAAACATGAAACAAAGAATTAAGAGCGGCGGGCTATGTAACAGGCTGAGATATGACTAAAGTAACGTAGAGTCGCACAAGATGTTGTCAGCGATCTTCATGCTAAGCGACCTACGTTTCGAAATTTGTATGCATAAGCTTTTGGTGAGACAAAGCGACAAAAGAGAAAAAGCCGACGTTCCGTCACTTTGCGTATACTTACTCTTGAACAGCCATCAAGTGACTCGTATCTCGGGGCATTTTCAGTTACGTACAACGATACGCGCACACGAAGGGACAACATTGTACCTATCTATCTATGATTGTACCGGCTAGGTATCTTTCTAGTCAGCTATTGATACGACTAGGCCAGAAATCGTGCCAGTCGTCAGATAAGTCAGGTAGGGCACGGCGCACGGGGTAGCAGGGTTGTGTGTGGTGTGGGAATGGTAGGCGCCGCCAGGTATGGTATGGGCCTGGCATGCTCGCAATGAAACCGTAATGAATAAACACCTTTTTTTGTGAGCTTCCCTACCTCACTTTCCTGGCGGAAGTCGGCGTGAGCGGGTCATCGACCGAAATGAAGCCCACCCTGGTCAAATAGCTTCTGATGTTAATCGACGCTAGCAGCCAACACTGAACAGCAATAGGCGACACTTGCGGCATATTACACCATTTTCTCGTTAGCACAAGCCCCCCGGCTGCATACACCGCAATACGTGTGACTTGGCCTAGATACAAATTTTTGAAAGAGGAAAAAAAAAAAGATTGCTTCGCTAAACTAGAGCCACACACTTTCGGATTCGGGAAAGAGGGATGAATCAATTCGCAAACCGCAGCCGCAGTCATAACTCGCCATGCAATGTTGCTCCTTTGTTCGATGACTTACATACCTGGACGGAAAGGAACGCCATCCATACCATATCTAACGTAATTAGTTAGTTGATTAAGCTGACCTTCCTGCACACGTATAGTACATTGCACGCATGTGCGGGCGTATAACCATACCTGGTGCTTTGCTGCGTACAATTGTACTGTACATGAAGCGGCGTCAGGGTCCTAGTCATATTACTACACTATTCTACATACAGCACATTGTAATATTATAGGTATGCAGACACATACGCGCGCCCATACGCCGCGCACACACCAACATTTATACTTTAGCTTAGTTCCCTAACATTCATAGCTGGCTTGCCGTATGTAATCATTACATTACGCCTTTGGTAAATCTGGGCGCATAGATTAAGATTGCACACCGTCTCGTCTGGTTCCACACGTTTCTATCTCTTATTACTCGACTACATGACATTTGACTTGATCTACCTATGCGTTTCACTCTTCGTTCGTTTATGCCTGAGGCCGCACTACACAGACACGCCAAGGCGCAGTCAAGACTTTATTGCTTGTACGTGTCGATTGGAAATACAGTCCTCATTTGCTCTAGTCTGCCACATACACACTTTTAATCTTTCCTAGCCGTAGCCAAGGCCTCTGGATACTCATTCAATTCCTCACTCACACGCCCTCTCTTTCAACCAACTAAAAGTGGTCCCCAACCGACTTTTCCGGACACATCATCACGACGTCTGCGACTCCACCGCTGGTCGTTTGCTTTCTTTTCCTTCAACACGGTCACCGTCTTGGATTGCGCGAGGTGCGCGTGTAATTCCACATCATCCACTACCGCGGTCTCCTAAGGCTTTTCATATAGCGTCCGAAGCTGCACGAGTCGACAAGACGACGACAACCACTATTATTGCCTCAGTGTGAGTTTCTTTTATCCATAAAACGCCTCGAATACACAGTTTCCTCGCGACGCTTGTCACGCCGATCGTGGCAGCACAGCACTACACATGCGTCTTCCTATTCCTCCCTCCAGACAAATTTAGCGAGGCATACATCTGCGCAGTGACAATAAATCACAGCCCAGATGGCGAATCCTATCCAGTGGTAGGCGCAACTGAGCTTGATATTCGCCGACTGCCATCCTATTGCCTCGGTGCCGAGGGGCTGGGCACTATCACATCATCGTTTGGGTTGAAGTCTTAGCAATCCGTTTGTGGACGACCAAGACATATCTGCTGCACCGCCACCCGATCATTTATTGGACAGAAGGATCTTTTCGGCGAGTTGATTTCAAGGAGAGTGCTTGACTATCTGCCTTTTCTATACCTGAGGTATCCATGGACGTTTGCTAGGCATGTGTCGCATTGTCAGCTTGGTTCGTTGTTGATGTTGTTATTACGTGATCCACTTTGTGTGCATCGTGGCTTCTCTCTCAACGCGCTCTTTCCCTCAATCACGCGATCCCTACAATCTCTTTAATCACTCTTACGCACCACTGGCATCCACCGCACCTTCCTAAGTAGATAGATCATCATACCTAACCTTTTGTCACATAGGTTGTTCGACAAACCCTACTTCTGACATACTTGGGATTGCATCAACATCCTCACAAAAAGACAATCCTATCTGCACACAACAAGGAGGTCTTTTCCTATTTATTGAAATCACCGTCGATGCTGGGCAGCCACAGATAGAAGTCGAGCTGCTTGGTTTTTGTTCCTGGCGGACATTGGACATCGATGCCCCCTATGACATTGCAGGACTGTTTGCGTATTTCATCTCTCTTCAGCTCGGTCTTTGACTAGATATAGCAAACTGCGCATCCCATGACCTTGTGAGAATTCACGTTCCATCTTCCACACGTTCAGCTCAGCCACAATGGCCCCGATTGGGCAGCCCGTCGTTGCCGACGAAATGATGGAGATAGAGTCTGATTTTCAAGACTGGACATTGGAGCTCGATGTCATGAATAAGCAGTATGGCGCTCTGCAAGCTGCTGAAGATGTCACCCTCCAAACAACAATCACAGCCATCGAGAACCAGATCCGTGCCGATGCGGATGGACTAATCGCGAACCTCAACGCGTACATGCAGCAATGCTTGGAGAAGATGCGGCAGGAAATGGCCACATCTGTCTCTAGGCAAGTACAGCAACATCTACAACTAGAGAAGACAAAGGTCGAGTTCGAGGCACGGAGACGACAGCGGAGCGAGGCAAAGAAGAAGCAAATTGTCGAGCTCTTCGACAAGCACCACTTTCCCCCCAGTTCTCATAAGAAAGAGAAGCAGTTGACACTTGTAAGTTGTTCTTCTCTTCCAAGCATCTAATCATGCTTACTTGCTTCTATCTGAATGGACTCAGTCTCGTTCGTTTTTAAGAGATTTCCAACTGATGAACGGCAGACTGGTCAAAATAGACCATCTCCGCAGCCACTCACAAAGGCTTCGCAGCTGCAGAGTACGCTGAATGGGCATACCAGCAAGACTAGCAGCCCAGCCCCAGCTACAGCTGACTCGTCTCTTAATGGTGGCTCGATACGCGAATCTGTAGATGGCAGGAATATCGTTGAGGCATCCCAGTCACAATCCACAGGACCAGCAGATCAGTCAGTGTCACCAACACCCGGAACAGCTCAATCGAATCTCGCGATATCGATTACTTCTGAGCCCCAAACCAATAGTACAGCGGCTTCTGTGGCTCCCTTTTGGCGCGCACCATCTGTTGACCCTAACAGAGTGATAGAATCCCCCGGCCATGGAGCAGTAAGTTTTCATCGCAATCAATTCAGATGAGTGGGAGCACTGACCAAACCCTAGTCCAAGCGCAAGGGCGAGACATTCACTTCCGGTCCGGCAGATACAGTAAAACGAGCCCGAGTAGAGCAATCAAGAGATGAGGAAACCACCGCTTCCGCCGAGAGACAGATGCCGAATTCGCCTCAGCGTCGTTCTTCTCGATCGGCAGCTGCCCAGCGTACCGTTTCGTTTGCTGAGGTCTATCAAGACGGCCAAGCTGAACATAAACACCAGATCTTAGAGTATATAGAAGGCAGTGGGAAATTCTACATCCTCAAGTGCGAAGAGCATCACGTCCACTTCGGCAGCAATCCACTTGCTGGTGCAGCGAAACATCTTTCAAGCTCTCAGCACCATAAGCTCCCGAAAACACATGAGCTCGCCATCGAGAAGCTTGGATATCTTGTCTACGACTGCACCCGCGAGCTTGCAGATAAGAACAACGCCCGCTTCACTGAAGCTATCAGGAAAGGATACGAACCATTTAACGCCAATAGGCTGACAAAAGCCGAGAAGATGGCTCGTGGAATTGACATCACTGATTCTCCTAATTCCCATCAAGAAACCCCTACGAGTAAGGGCAAATGGTCGGAATCGGTTGATGGAGGGCCGACGTCAGAGAAGCAGTTCAAGGGCATCACGGACGCGAAATACGGCAATCTCTACCTGGGATATTGGCCGAAAGATAAGACTAGATATCCCGTCATTGTGTTGCCACTTGGGGATCTCAAAGCCGCGGGACTTCAGGGTACACTTCTTGGAACCTCTCTCCGAAAAACCGTCCCCAAGTGCTATGTCGTGACGCGACCAACGCCGGACACGAAAGTCATTAGTGGGTGGGCCAAAGGGTACGAGGATGGTGGCCCATTGGTCACAAAGCGGGAGTTCCCTGTCATGTATTTTGACAAACAGTTGTCAGTGCGAGATCATTTCTTGAGACCGAAAGTAGCTAACCCTCCCCATAGCTTGGTCGGTTGGATTGCAGCGAGACATCTCAGCAGGTTCGATTTCGAGGATCCGAATCCAGAAGCCTACCCAGAATACTTCCAAGCACGCGATTATTGGGCTAGAATTCAAGACGATCAGTGTACTAACTACGATGACTGGGTAAAGCGTGGTTCCATCAGGAACCCTACCGAGTCACCATCACCATCGAGTAAGTGGGCTTTTTGATTTTTTTGATTAGATATCTGGTGTGTCACAAGTACTGATCAGTCCTCTTCTAGACTCTGGAGGGGCTAGTCCGGTTGCTGGCAACGAAAATGGCACTACCGAGTCCACGGTATCACCTGCCGAGGTGCCTAGATCTACCGATGCTTCTGATGGTAAATTGGACCAGGAAATGATTGATATCGGAAATGTCCGCGCGGATGGCAGTACCGAGAAGTCTGTGGCCGGTCAGAGTCGTCCCGACGAAACTGTGGATGTTGACATGGATCTGGGAAATGACAGGTTTGTTATCCCCAAACCCTTTTTATGCCTTGCTTGAGCTAGGCTCGATTCCAAAGCTACCCTCAGTATTAACTAGTCGTAGAATTTCAAGGGAAACGATTTCTCAGATAGCCAAGGCACCGGAACAACAGGATGTTGATAATACGTCCGGTGCAAGTGTCAAGGCTGCTACCAGCGGTCAGACTACTGGCAATTGGCTTTCGAAAGATCGCTCGATGCAGGATAAGGGCGCTACAGTAGCCTCCCAGAACGCATTACCCCCACCTCAGTATATCTTGAAGTCTAGCAAGCCATCCGAGAGCATTCCCCGACCATTGTCCATCCCTACTCCTCTCAATTCGACGGAGGTGTCGCCAACTACGACAGGATCACCTGTGATCACGACGCCGTCAAGTCAGGGCCCCGCTGGGAACTCGACTGCTCAGCAATTTGCAGCAAGGGCTCTGCACATTAATACTACTCATCATCTAGACAGCCCAATGAACCCCATAAAACAATCCCAATCGCCAAACACCAATCTTTCACGAGGATCCATGGAGCCTACAAGACTTGATGATGCCAATTCACGTGCTTCTCAAGACATGATCAATATACCTAGAACTCGTCCCAACGGGGTAGAACAGGCTGCGCGGCCGGTACACCCAGAGTCAATCCCAATGAGGTCGCCACCAGCAGAGACCTCGCTTGGCAGGCACCAGAACCCTATGCAGACTTATATAACCACCAACTCGATGTCACCCGTACCTCACGGAGTTTCAGCAGATGTGTCAAGAATGGGATCTCGTGGGCCAACGCCAACCACAATTCGCGAAACAATTGAGTCTACACAAGGAGTTTTATCAGCGCGCAACACAGCGTCACCACAGAGAGAACCGTCCACAAACGGGCGTTATGTTCACTCGTCGGCCATGCAGTCGACGTCGCCGATACCGAACGGTGGAGCAGGGGATCGGGTTCAATCCTATGCAAATGTACAACTTCCACCCCGTCCAGCTGTTCGAAGTCCTGTGCCAACTGCGCGCCCAAATTTCGGAAGCGTGTCAGAACAGACCCGTTCTGCTATACTGGCAGGATCAACTTCACCGTCTTTAGGCCCATATAGAAGTACATCCTCCACACCAACACCGGCGCCTGAAGTCACTTCGAGAAAGGGTACACCAACAATCGTTCGGGGTGATAGCTTAGATAGATGGAAGGCGGTCCGTCAGCCATCATCTTTCTCGAGCTCACCCCATTCGTTCTTCGCCACTCCGGGATCAGCCAGTGAAAGTTCTCGAGGACCATCCGCCTCACAGAGCCGTCCTGGGTACAGCCTGTCATCGATTATGACTGCCTCGACTCCAGCATACAGTCCGATCAAACCGGAGAGTCCAGCCACTGGAAAGGAGCAGTACTTTGACGTCGTGGGCTATAGAGATTCGTCTGATACCAAGTCGTATGTCAAGGACGATAGTTCGCCATATCTGCGTGTCACGGTGAATGCTGCTCGAGGAGTAGCCGAGACGGCGGCAGGCGAGGCAATTGCTGTCACCATCAACCCCAAAGAAGTCCTGAAAGTCATTGTCAAGAACATTGACCAAGACAAGGCCACTGTCGCCCTCACCGTGAAGGATCCCGAGAGCCGGCCGGAGTACTGGGCGTTTGGGACCAGGAATATTGATGGGCGGCCCGTGTCGGGCAAGATCCAGGCGCGGCTCTTTTGCAAGTGGATCAGATCTCTGAATTCAAACGTACAGTACCTGAACACGAGGTAAGTGAGATCCAGGCGCTGGAATGACTTTTGGTTTCTGATAGATGCAGCGCCACCGATAGCAGCCGCCAATCTAGCGGTGGAAGATCGCCAATCCTTGATTGATTGAGAAGCTAGATGTTGCAACGTTTGGTTTCGAATTATCTCATTCCTATCCCGCATCGCAAAAGCATTCGCTGAGAACGAGGCATTTCACCGTCACCTAGAAGCGCCACAGTGTGCTCGAATTACTCCTGCGGCTTGTCTCCTCTTGTCTTGGACTTCCTCTCCTTGCCCCTCCAATTTCGATCAATGGTCTTTTCGCCATTCATAACAGCTTGCACCGTCAAGTTAGGGTTAGGAGTTCTGTATTACGGAAAACGGCTCTGCCGCGTTATTTCGGGTCTTTTCATTGTGTCATTCATGTCTGCAACAAAAATTCAATGCAACAAAAATTCAGGGGAAAGGGGGGCCTGGCGTTGCGTCATTAATTTTCCTCCTTCGTTTCCAGCCTAGGTTCGCCTGGTTGCACCCAAAGACGGTGTTCTCGCAAGGGAGTCAGACTCTGAGCACTACTGCACACAGGATCAAGGAGACCTGTGATGATAATTTCATGTATTTAGATACCAAAAGGCAGGTTAGGTCAGCTTTGACCGATTGCCTCTCTCACTAAGTCTCCCAAATTGAGGGCTTTTGATAAGTTTGAATTGTACTGCGCCAACGGTCAGATGGTGCTATGTCTTCCATTGCAGCAATCATAGAATTGCTGTATAGCCTGGGCTTTATGTTGATCTGTGTCAAAGGTGTGATTACTCTGGATAAAGTGGATCTGAGAACAAATGTCTGTTTGTTTTCAGCATCGTAGTGGATATTTTGCATGTGATTGACGATCATTTGGGCGGTTTTGCCGCGGCGCGGCGGGCGGGCATTTTGAGGTTAGCGCATCTAACATTATTTACTTGTCTATGGAGCTTACCCCAGCTTTTTTATCGGCTGGACACCCAGACACCTTACCTTTACTGTGCTGGACAGATAGTGGTAGTTGGTACTACCTAGGTACCTACAGTAGCTAGGTGCGCTGACTCGGCAGGCCTTCTTCCTTTTGCATTCTCACGTGGGGGGCCTTTTCCGGCCATTCCATTGCATTCCTATCATCTTCTGACGTCGCCGCTTGCTTCCTTCCTTCTCTTCGTCTTCTTCTTCTTCTTCAGTCTCTTCACTTCCGAACTTTGACATCTTGTCTTCCTCAATATATCTTATCATATACCTCTCTTGCCATTTAGAATGCTATTCGATCCACGGAGCATGCTGCAGTAGGCCTACCACCGCCCGATGACGTGTGGATTTGGATTTGGCTTTGGCTTTGCGGGGACCCTGGATCCGAAGCGAAGCGAAGCGAAGCGGTGGTGGCTGCAGTGAGTGAGGCAGGCAGGCAGGCAGGTCCTAGAGAACCGCCCGCCGCGTCTGAATGAACACTTCGCCGCTTCTTAATGGCTGCCATTGTGAGTTGCATCTTCTCTCTCTCTCTCTCTGTCTTCCTCGCATCTTGTGTTCATCCGACCTCTTCTGGCGACACGGAGCCAAAAATCAAGCATCATCCATCACTCATCACTCTGGGGCGGCCGCTTTCGTCCGTGCGGTTGATTACCTGAGCTGCCTGTTGTCTGCCTGCCTGCCTGCCTGCCGGTGACGTGACGTGAAGTGAAGTGAAGTGAAGTGACGGCGCGGCAGAATAAGAATTGAGGAGCCTCAACAACGTCAGCATCTCGCTCTCGTGCTTGCTCTGCAAACGCAACCACCTCGCTATCGCCTTTTCGAGATGCTCCGCCTGACTGCTGTAACGCTGTCGAGTCGAGGCGCCCGCGCTGCTTATCGATAGAGTGACAGACAGTGAGACTCAGACCGGCTAAGCTAACCTTCTCGCCTTGCGCGAACCCGCCACAGGACATACCCTGGCTGTCCCACATGTCCGCTCCCCGATCGCAAGGCAGCGGCGGCGGCGGCGGCGGCAGCAGCTCGCTGGACGCCTCCGGCCTGCCCTTCTCCCCCTCTCGCGAACCCTCCTACGACGGCGCCGTGCCCTCCGCCGGCCCCAATCCGACATATGCCACCTTCTCGCCCGCAACCCTCTCCTCCACCTCTCCGACTGCCACATCCGCTGCGAAGCGACGAAGCACCATTCTCGTCCACCAGAAGTCCCCCTTGCTTCTGGCCACTCCTCCCCAGATCACGCGCGCTCTCGCCTACAGCCATCCCTTCCTCCTACCGCTGAATAAACTTGCCGGGCTGCTGAGCTGGACGACGGGCGATCCGTGGGAGAGCTTTCTCCTCGTCGTCGCCTATTGGGCTGCTGTTCTCTACGGAGATGTGGCGATACGCTATGCCGGCCCAGTCGTGCTGGTGCTCTTGCTGATACTCGGCATGTACGGCCGTCGCTTCAGCCCCCTGAGCAGCAGTGGCTGGAGTGAGCCCGGGCTGGACGGAGCTGCCGCGTCTTCTGTGTCCACGAAGCAGGCAAAAGGGAAAGCTAAGAACACAAAGAATCTGACAGTGGAGGCCGGGGGGAGCAACACCGCGAGCACTGCTCCTCCGTCGGCCCCTGGAGGCGGCCACCAGAGAACGGCTTCCGAGATAACGAGCACAAGACACCAGAAGACACTAGACGAGATTGTAGAGACGCTCAAGGAGTTTACAAGCCGGTGTAACATACTCTTGGAGCCTCTGCTCGAGCTGACCGACTTTCTCAGCACACAGCGAACGCCGACGTCAGCCACTACGAGACCGGCGCTGACAACGCTTTTTATACGGATCATACTTTGCACGCCGTTCTGGTTCGCGCTCACCTTGCCGCCCTTCCGGATCGTCAGCACGCGGAGGGTATTGCTGGTCTTCGGGACGGTAATTCTGACGTGGCACGCCCGGGTCATGAAAGCCGCCCGGGTCATCCTCTGGCGCAGCGCCAGCCTCCGGAGGCTCACGGCCTTGATCACGGGTTTGGAAATCGAAATACCATCGAAGGAGACGCCGCTTGCAGACCTCAAACCGGAAGCGAGTGCTTCTGTGGTGACGGTCGCGTCGAAGGACTCCACTAAGACCACTACCACGGTCAAGTCGTCACAGGAGTCCGAATTGACCAAGGCTATTCGTCGGGCTCGTGGGGCCCACGACGCTGGAGTCAGATTTACATTCATCATCTATGAGAATCAACGGCGCTGGATGGGGCTGGGATGGACCAACAGTCTTTTTGCCTACGAGCGACCGGCGTGGACGGACGAGCATAATAATGCTGTGCCGCCGCGCGATGAGTTTGAGCTGCCTGAAGTGGAAGATGGCAGCCGTATGCGGTGGAGATGGGTGGACGGCAGTAGATGGAAAGTAGATGGCGTCCCTGATGAAGCCGTAAGCCGTGTAGATGAGAATGGCCAGGAGGAATGGGTTTATGATGGTGATGGTGGTAAGCTGGGGTGGGTGTATTATGACAATAAGGTGAGTCGGGGCGTTCCCCTTCATATTCCTGAACCTGCGCTCACCAATGAATTTTAACAGTGGCAAAACGGTCGAAGAGGTCAAGACGGCTGGGGTCGTTGGACGCGGCGGCGGAAATGGTACCGCGACGCAGAGCTGGTCGAAGTTGAAGACGAGGAGCCTGCTGCTGACGACGACACACCCACTCCTGGGTCATCACAACCGCCACCGTCTTTACCACCACGGCCGGTGTCGCCCACACCCTCTACACCATATCACACAGAAAACACGATGAGCATGCCCAATCTCCCCTCTCAAAAGTCTATAGCCGAGAAGATCACCGCAGAAGAAGGCGATGATGACTCCGCCTCCATGCTCTCCACATCGTCGCGGTCAATACGCTTCAAGGCGCCCAGCCTGCGACGGCGGGCCACAGACACAAAACGTTCTAGAAGAGCTAGTGAGGCTCTGAGTGAAGATGACGCCGCGAGCTTGGGCACGCAGGTGGGCATTGAGATCCTGGGCGCCGCGAAGGAGAGAGAGCAGTGGGGCATAGGAGACGAGGCTCGGATGGGGCTAGAATAGCGGAATAGCGGGCTTTGGATTAGATTACATGAGATACCACTGCAGAAGAGCATATCATATCAAATTGCATTGACTTGGGGGTTTGTTGTTTGGCAATTCAGTGACTTTGATGAACTGCGAAGCTAACTAGGCAGCATCCCGGATGGTCAAGTAGTAAAGGACCTTTGCTGCGTGACTGGCTAATAATTTTTAAAGTACATGATCATCGACACATCCAGCTTGGTTGCTTGATCCAAATCAGATAACCTTCAGTTCTTCGTGAGAAGCCCAGGATTCCAATAGCCTGCTTCTATGACGGCGCGTTCGGCGCACGGCAGCGACGCCCCGTTCAAGCCAATCTCGCCTGCTAGAAACAGAAATCCTATCAGCTTGTCAGCAAATATGCTGCTATTACAATCATGCAGTTATTATCCTCACATGCTCCTGAATGAAAGCGTTGTTAGCCATCTTGGCGGCCGCGCAGCCCTTCTCAAGCGTCATCGTCACATTGCCGTCAGAGTTCATCGGAGGGTCGACGATGGAGTTCGTCGCAACATGACCACTATACTTCATCGTAGTATGATTCTCGAAGTTTGTCGCAGTATCGCCATTGGGCTTTATCGGAGGATCGATCGCGAAGCTCATAGCAGTGTCACCGTTGGACGTCATCGGAGTATCGACCTCGAAGCTCAACACAGCATCGCCGTTGGACTTGATAGTAGTATCACGGCTGGACTTGTTCGTAGGATCACCCTCGACATTCGTCGTCGTCGTCTCTTCCAACTCATCGTCCGCCTTGTCCTTGTCCATAGCCTCCCGCAAGCTCTGCTCCATGTTCGAAATATAAGCAATGATGTCCTCGTTGCTCATCGCAGAAAGCGCCTCATCGCTGAGCCCGAGAATCTGAGCCGCCTTGCTTGCTCCCACCACAGCAGCGCTCTCTCCAGCGCTCTCTCCATCGCTCTCCGCGACGGCCTCCTCCTCCTCCTCCGAGCCGTCGCCGTCGCGCTTGTCGACAAGCTTGACGACAGGCACGCCGTGGTGCATCCACCGCAGGGCCCTGCTGATCTCGCGGCCGGCGGCGGCCTCGCCGTGGTTGTTGAAGTGGCAGGCCTCGTTGGGGCAGCGCAGCGTGTGCCACCACTCGCGCGGCAGGGGGTCGGCGCGGGCGAGCAGCGTGCGCGAGCGCCGGCAGGTGAACCACTCCTCGGCGCCGAAGCCGAAGCCCTCGGTGTGCTGCATGTGCAGGGGCGCGAGCCAGGCCTTCTCGCGGCCGTGCGGCACCCAGGTGTGCGCGCAGACGAGCACCACCGGCTCGAAGATGCCCGCCTCGCCGCACCCGGGGCAGGTGTAGGTCTGCTTGATGCACATCTTTTTTGGGTGAGGGTGGGAAGCGAGGCTGGAAGGAGAGTGGGAGGTGTCTGTTTGAAGAAAAGAGAGGCACTCGAGCTGTATCGAGGACCAAAAGTGAGGGTGGTTGAGGGTGAGGGCAAAGGAGTGGGTTCGAGGGCGAAGAAAAGGTCGGCGAGGATTCGTTGACGGCTGGCCTCGAGGTTGCCTTATTTGTTTTTGAAAGAGCTGTCCATAAAAGGAAACAGCTGCTGATAATGAAGGGCTCAAACCCCATGTTGTGATACTCCGGGGTGGTAGATATCAAAGTGCGGCTGTGTTGCCAGAGAGCTTGAGCCGCACGAGGGGGAGAAAGACAGCCATGAAGTTCTGACTGGCCTGCCTCTGGCTCGATAGACAAATATGCGGCTAAGGAGTCAGAGTCTTTGGCTGGGCTATGGAACTTGTATTGAACCTGTAGGCAGTGTGTGAATTAGAATTTTGACCAGGCACAGGGCTTCTCAAATAGGGGTGGTGTGGACGGTTAATTGAACAGAAGATCAAAGGAATATTGCTATGCTTGCAGACTTACTATTCTCTAAGGACATATCCAACTTGAAAACAAACCTATCCTTCAAACGCCTTCCTTCCTTTATTAGAGCTGTCCATACTTCTTGACCACCTCATCCTTCAACGGGAAGGTATTCTTGACGACTTCATTCATATGTAGGATCGCCTCTCTCGCACCGGGCCAAGTCCTCCTCTTCCCCGTTTCGAAGAACCGATACATGTGTGCAGTTTCCACCCCGTTGTTCAGCAGATTATACATCTTTCTGTCCTTCAGCCAGAACATCCAGCCTTTCCAACCCCAGCCGAGGTTCTCCATGCCCGTGCCGGCGGCCTTGTGGAGCCACCCCTGAAACTCCCACTGCTTGACCATGCTCTCGTCAACAGTCTGATCTAACTTCCATCTCCCAGCAACCCACGCTTGATGTTCGTCGATCCATTGCTCCATTTCATCTCGCGGAGGTAATTTCTCCACGCCGCGCCAGACATTGCTGATCGCCAGGGACGTCACGTCCGCAAAGGAGAAACCGTTACTTTTCCCATAGGCACTGTAGCACAGCATGGCGCAAGAGTCCCAGTAGGCAGGCGGAAAGAGGTTCATGTACATGCGGTGGATGGGGGCCCCGTTGTAGTTGTGCGCCGTGGGCTTGCTGGTCTGGACGAATGGGGCGACGCTCCAGTCTGCCTTGTAGCCCGTGCAGAAGATGACGGCGTCTATGTCATCCAGAACGGTCCCGTCATCGAACTCGAGAGACTTCGGGCCTACGAAGCGCTTCAGCCCATGCAGCGATGTCAGTCTACCGTCTGCGAGAAATGGCATGATGTCCTCGAAGGAGCCGGGCAGGGTCAAGAGGACGGAAGGAACAGGGGTCAGGCGCCAAGCTGGGTCGAGCTTGAACATGCGCGTGGCAAAGTAGTTTGTTGCTTTGTCAATCATGAACTTGGCGAGGCCCGGGGCATAGCGCTGAAGAAACTGGCTCATCTGCCGCCTTCGCCAGGTGATGTTCAAGTCGACAGGCGTCCCATTGCGCACGCGTTTGAAGGGCAGCGCTCCTCTCCTGTGAGAGACCCAAACTTTCTCGGCATGTGGCATTATATCTGGCACGATATCTCCTGTCGTGCTTCCCAGTCCAACAACGACAACTCTCTTGCCCTTGAAGTCCTCGAATCTGTTATCGTAAGCAACGAGCCATGCAAGAAACATTTGCCTTTACCTTCTATATTGTTGCGAATGCATAAGAGTGCCCTCAAACTTGTCCTGGCCCTCGAAAGTAGGGATCGCTGCCTTGGTCTGGTAGCCATGGCAAAAGACGATCTTGTCAAACTCGACCGTTTCGGCTTTGCCGTTCGTTTCGATATCCAGGCGCCATTTGGTGTCATCGCTATTTCGAGATGCCTGTTTGACGCTGGTGTTGAATACGATATTCTGGTAAAAGTCAAAGTGCACAGCATAATCGTGCATGAACTCTGTGAACTCGGCAGGCGTCATCCATAAGGGGTATTCTGACGGGCGGTGTTGTCAACATCGCCCTAACGTGTCGAATGGCATGTCGATTAAAGAGGCGTAGCAGAACTTACTGTCTGGCATGGGAAAGTCACTGAATCCGCATGTGAATTTGCTGATGTTGGCGCGCGTTCCTAACGAAGTGTAAGTTTGCCATGCTCGACATCCGGCTTGGCCGGGGGTCAAACGCACTGGGCAGCGCGATCGTGTGCGCTGTGTCGTCAGAATACGCCCAGAGCCCTCCCACTTTGCTCCTGCGCTCATAGAGAGTGACATCGTAGCCATCTTCCTTGAGTGTCTTGGTCATGGACAGGCCCGACGGACCTGCGCCGATAATCAGTCACGACACGATGATGGTGGTGGTGATATCACTAGATGCACTCACCAGCCCCCACAACGGCTACAGTAGGCGCGGCTTTTGCCATGGTTCAGTAAGAATCAGACTAGCGACTTGGCGGGCTTTGGAACGGTCGATGTATCAACTGCCGGCAGTGTTATATATATGAGCCAGCGCGCAGTAAAGCAGCTTCTGACTTGATGATTCGGGAGAAGTCATTAGATTGTTTGCAGGCGTCGTCGATGGATCCAATGATCCTTCGTCTGAGGGACTAGACCATTCGGGAATCCGTGCCTCTCGGACCTTGGAGCCCAAGCCATGCGGCGAGGCGGCCGCTTGACGAGGTGGGTCATGATCACCAAGAATAGCGGCATTTGCAGCGGAGTTTGCAGGCTTATTGCTTCGCATTCAATTACTGTAATTTGTAGATATCGTCACTTAAGAGCAGCATACAGCATGCATGATATGAAAGAGTAGACTTATCGATAGATTAAACGCTCCAGCCCTACCTACGAGTGATGAAGCTAAGTACTGCCAAACTCCACCAAACTCCACCAGCTTTTTAGTGTTCTCCCGCTCTATAGTGCGTTGGCCAATAGCGTAGAAGATGTCGTGACCGGGACGGGCTGATCCGCTGATTCGCCCATTCAGCAGTGTTGCAGCCTTGGCATCCTGCATAGTAAGCACCTTACACCGACAACTAGGATTCTTGATTGCGGTTGTCTCTCGAGTCTTTTCAAGACCTTGAAGCAGACGCCCATGTGAGTTATGTGAGCAACTTACATGTATCACTCAAAGGGTATGGGACTTGCTGCATAATAAACGGTTTACATGCACTAAGGGAATGGTGGAATCTTGAATGATGACAAACAGCAAGCTGAATATAAGTGAAAGATGGAATTGAAAAACTCGACAAAGTCTAGAAGGCTTGTGAAATGAAAATGAGTGAGGAACAGAGTCAGTATTGAAGTGACAAAGTTTAACGATTCATAAACTGGAAGACAGTTTTCACTCAGTAATGTTAATTCTTAATGATGATTGTGTCAATACATATGTCAAAGACACTATGTACAATTATTACTTCATATGATACAACTCCCGGTCATCATGTACTTCATAGTGTCCGGCATACTCCGTGACCACCGGTTCATTATATCACGAACGCCCCCAATTTGAATGCCATGAGAAAACGCCCAGGGAAAAACACCGGATTATGTCCCTTATGAAACGATAGAATCCCAGTCCACGACCACTTGATAAGCTCATTTAAGAGTATCTGTTGAGTGTGTCGCCGAGGACACCGTTCAGTAGGCCCATGTCGTCAGTGATGGCGCCGCCGGTAATGTCATCCAGACACTGGACGAGATTATTGGCCAAGGCCTGGAAAGTATCCGTGTTAGTCATCCTTGTTCAAGCCGAGTGTGTGTAGGAGGAATAAAAGGGGCACTCACATTGACGGAGCCGTCCAGGCCACCGAGTAGAGAAGTGATGGGCGACAGGATGAACGGGAGGTTGAGGCACAGTGCGGCCTTGCTGGCCAGGGTATTGAGCAGCGTCGTCTGAGCCTGGGCAAATTGGCCGAAGCTGGTGACGATGCTTGTGGCGGCATCGCCTACGATCTCCTGCGGCTGCAGCTGTGTCAGGCAGGTGGTGATGTTGTTGACGACTTGTGCGAGGCCATTCACAACAACCTGTAAGGAGAAGAGCATATGAGCGTTCATGTCTTGATGTGAGACAGTGCAGATTCAATGGGGGCTTACGGGTAGTGGTCCCTGGCCGACAAGGGCAAGTGGCGCGTTCAGGATGCTGAGAGACTGCGCCTGGCCGATGAGACCGTTCACATTGGCGGTCAGGGTGTCGAGGGTCTGACAAATGGCATCTGCGTTGACCTGAGCGGTGGTCACGCCGGCAAAGACCGCCAGGGCAGTAACAACTGAGATTCTCATCTTGAAGTTGGAAGAAGCTTGAGCACCAAAGGCCTGGAAGAAGTTACGGTAGCGTGTTTGCAGTTTGCTGCGAGAGTGCTTAAGTCTGTTGTGTCCCAAGAAGCCATCATTGAAAACAGAGGCAGCGGAATGGACTTATATGTACAGACGTTGCGCCCTGTCTCGCCACAATGAAGCCCATGAACAGATAGGTAGATGCCTCTGGCTGTCCAGCAACGAGACTAGTCTATGACGCAGATCTTGACGGATGCCGTCCTGCCCGAGTAAACAAAAGGCATGATGCCCAGCCGTGTCAGGCGGCAGAGGGAGGCGGACGGTAAGGTCAACGGGTAAACCCTATGCTGTGCGGATTCTGACTCGTCCGTGAAGTCAAATGATATATCGACTCTCTAAACGTCTGCCATGGCTCTAATGCAACCTACCAGGGTCCTTAGTGCGAAACTCTGTCTTAATCTGTCTGCTGGCGAGACTAGCCACAATGTAGTGAGTATTCAGACTCGAGACAGAGTTCCCAGATACTCGGTGGTTATGCGGTTCCTTGGCTGTGGACGCATTCCTCGCGGTGGTTAGCCTTGTGAAACCGCCACGCTAGGAGACTGGAATGCGACCACTCTGGCAACAAGATACTGATGTACAATGATGGACTTGAGCGACATCTCTAATTCTTTTTGGCAGCTTGGCACTTTTTTAGCAACCGTTGAAACGTGCAGAGAGCGTCTATTGATCGGAATGGGGGAAGTGTAGCCTAATCTATATGCAATTCCACCAGTGATCGTCGCCAGATCGTCTATTGTCCCCCTGAGCCCCCCGAACCCCAGCAGGAAAGGCATGTGGAGATCAGCATAACAAGCAAAAGGGGACCCATAACCCATGGCATGGCATGGCATGGCATGGCATGGCCCAGAGAGCCGCAGATGCATCACTCCAGAAACTTGTGAAAAAAGGACGTCATGCCCAGAGACCCGTCTGCCATGGCAGCATAGCTGGGGCACTGCCCCCACTCCGTCCAGCCCGTGCGGAGGTAAAAGTCCCTAGCGGGCGTTGTCGACATGGTGTCAAGTGTCAAAAGCTTCTTTCCCAAGGTATGCTTGGCGAAAGCTTCGGCGTGGGCCATCAGCATGCTCGCCAGGCCCATCCGCCGCGCAGAGGGGCGGACGAGCAGCTTTGCCACTTCGGCGCGGTGGCTATGATTGGCCTTAGGAATGGTGAGCACCTGGATTGTGCCAAGGACAGCTGTCTCGCCTGCTACGGCGGCCGTTGCCGGTGCCGTCTTGTCGTTGTCGTTGTCGTTGTCATCGATGCTGAGGGCAGAAGAGGGAGAAGGAGATGTCACCACAAACAAGAAGACGGACGGCTGAGGCCTGTCCAGCAGCGAGCCGATGGCGGTCCAGTACTCGTCGGCCTGGGCATCAGACAGTGGCGCAAGGAAGCCGATGGAGGACATTGAGGGGTCCTCATTGACACAAGCCTGCAATAGAGTTCTCAGTGACAGGAGGCGCGCCGCAACATCGTTAGCGCTAACAAGGCGGCTCAGAACCAAGCCGGCGTCCTTTGTGGTAGACTTGATGCTGGCTAGGTGACGAAGAGTGTCAGCCTCCCGCCGCCGGGCGGCGCCAGCTACGCCATTGTCGCCCTCATGCGGCATCTTCCACGATGGCTCACGACAATGTTAAGTGGAGGCGAGGAGGCGAGAGAGGCTAACGAAGACAGACAGGTGCAAGGACAACTGGCTCCAGACACGGGACAGTAGCGCTCCCGCGTGTAATCAGGCCAGTTGAGCAGGTAAGGTTAAGCTAGCCCGAGCCAACGGGGCACAAATGACGTCCAAGTCGAAGTGAAGATGACTGTCTTTAGCGTCGTGCGGCTGAAGAGGGAGATGGTGAACTCTGTCTCTGCTGGCCACTGCGGCTGTTGTTGCTGTTGCCCGAGGGGCTCAGGAGCATGGTGATGCCGAGGGGAATTGGTAGAGGGAAAGGGAGAGGGTTGACGGGGCTGACCATCATGGCGATGGAGAAGGTTTGGTTAACCTGCTTGCCGGCCCCGCTGTCGCGCACCGGTCGGCCGGCCGCCGGAGGAGACTGTTGAGCATTGGTGGAGTTGGAAGCTCGTGAATAGTAAGACCGGTTTGCAGGGCGAGGGTTGGTCGAGTTGGTGCGCCTCGGGAACGAAGAAGACTGTCGTTGCTGTCCTGCGTTCATATTGACGAATTGAATAATAAACGATAAGACGAATGAATATATGACGATTGAATTGGCGTGTTGATATCAGATACTGTAGACTGACTGACTGACTGTTCTAACAAGGGAATAACTGACCATCCAACTTCATCTCAAATGTCCTATTATTTCGAGTCTTTATATACCAACAATTCCAGCATACATACTCACGAAAGAACAGCAATTCACCAAGAATATCATATCATTCGATGATGCTCAAAACCGGACCTCAGCAGCGTTTCAACCCCTGCAACCGTCCCTATCAACGTACGATCCACCCCTGCACACAGCACATGCTGCACGTGCACCCAGAGAACAGATTATTGAAGGAAAGCCAACTGTTCACTTGGAGAGAAAGAACGATTCCAATTGGCCGTTTCCTGTCAAAGAGCTGTAGGGTTATGTTAAGGTTTCACGATCAAAGAGTGTGGTAAAACAAAGCTTCGGCTATGTCGCCAGCCGCTAAGAAGCATGTAAACTTTGGGCGGTCTCGAACCATACTACGAGACCATCAAGAGCTTGTCCCCAAGGAAACGGCCGTACGCCACTCAGGATGACGTTTCAGACGCGGGCAGTGCTGTACTCGAGGGAGAGACCAAGACTCTGCCCGTGGAATTCCAACACCTGTCACAAAACTTGATGCTGTCACCACGAGAGCTTCGTGTTGCTCTTTGTCTCCAAGATAGAGGCTAATGGGATCGAGTTAAAGTGCCTCTTCTGCTACAGGCCAGACTGCCGTGTAAGCCCAGCATGTGTGCAGGACACCGTTGACCCATGTCGCCTACCATAAGTGTGCTCTGAGCTGTATACTTGTGAAATAAGATGCCTAGATCTTGCCTCCTTCTCTAATATGTTGATGGCATGGCAACTGCACAATGCAATGCTACTCAATCGAAAAAGGCATCATGGCCATAGTTCAGCAGGCACGAGAGACACAGCGACTGCGAGTCAATGACTTTGTATCAGACAAGGCACAAGAGACCGGAACGCCCCTCCAGACTTTTGCTCGATATATGAAGAAGCGAAGAGGAGACCGCAACAGTAGCCTCGATCTCGCGGGCGAAAATGAGGGCTTGCTTTGCTTCACACAGAGAGCATCAGTGTCTCGATTTCAATGATGCTAATTCTTCCAGGTCAAACAAATGCCCTGGAAACATCGGACAGATTGTTTTTGACGAGGACGCTGGGTCGGTAAGGTCTGTGATTCGACACGCTTCCCTGAGTGAATGAAGGCACACAGTGCCTTTGTGATATCCGCCATACCCGATTATGGGAGTCTCTTCAAAGACTCGGGGATTGGTGTAGCTCCACGCACAATGCGCGCGCGCATCGAAGCCAGCGGAGAACGGCAATCAGCGCATCAAGAAGGGCCTTGATCTTGAAAAACGAGACCCTAGCAAGCCTAGCAATACGTGTACAGTACCTAGCAATGCCCGCCTGGATCGGGCCTGGTCTCCAGGGCTGGCTCGCTGGCCAGAAAGGACTGGAAGTGTCGTCGTCGGCTGTTCTGAGTGGTCGAGACGCTGAAGAACAACCTGAAAGGGGGACCATAGGGACCATCCCACTTTGGCGGGGCAGACTTGGAGGGACTTGCAGCACTGTCACACGGTCTAGCGTCATGGTGCAGCGTGGTTTGGGCCCCCGACAGGCGTTATTACTGCATAGTAATGCGCTAACGTTAGTCCCAGGCACAAAGCGCGCTGCAAATCCGCACAAACCACGCATCATGTGTCACGCTTCTGGGGCTTGGATCCCCTCAATGCTCGCCCAATGGCTCACTGTGGTTGGCTCTGAGAGGGCCGGCCAGATCGAAAGACATCGCCACTTGTTGAGAGCCAAGATAATTACTGGATGAATGGAAGGCGATAGGTACTGTACATGTAGGTAACTGAGGTACTGTAGATCCGACAATGATAAGATAGGCAGATACGTAAGAGTTCCCCCCGCTGGAGAGCAGCGAGCCTCTATAAATATAAACCTTCGACTGCCCGTTTCCCAACGGTCTGTCTGCCTTCTCATCTCCACAACCAACTGCAAACACACAATCAATCCCCTTCACAAAGACTATTCTACTCTACTCTTCACCACACCACAACACATAACTATCTTGGACTCTCAAGTCTCTTTACAAAACAATCAATCAATCGAAATGGCTGGCGAGACTTGTGGCTGCTCCGGCACTGGTAGCTGCACCTGCTCAGCAGGCAACTGTACGCTCCCTCCTCTCTCCTCCATCATACGGTACTCTTGTAGCGATCACAAGCTGACTGACAATGCCAATACAGGCTCTTGCGCCTCTTGCAAGAAATAGATCTATCCCACAATACAACTACTTCTTACTACACTTAACCTAGGCCGGTCGAGGCTGCTGGGGTTGGGATGGGTTGGAGGGGCGATAAAGACGCACGAGAGACGTCTGGACTTTTAAGACTGTAGTGCGCGTTGATTGGGGCTCAAAGATAGCAATTCAATCATTTCTCGAAGAAGCATACCCACTGCTCTCATATTTCTATTCACTGTCTGTCGTGAGATGTCTTAACTGTATGACATGTTGGCAGGTGCGGCGATCTTAGAGGTGACCTCATCCCGATCCGTACAGAACACCGACAGCCGATGCAATGCGACGCCAAGGCCTGCAGGGCTTGCCGAGCTGTTTGACTCATTTGATATAATCGCAATGCTTTTAACGGCAAGACTTGCTCGATATGCTAGGAGGGGAGGTCATATCAAGGGTGTCAAGGGGAGAAAATGGCTAGGTCTATGCAGGCGTCCAAGACGTATCTCGAGAGGCTCTTCTCCCTCGCCGGGAAAACGGCCGTCGTCACCGGCGCATCATCCGGCATCGGAAGATCGATGGCCGTGGCTCTGGGACAGGCCGGCGCCCGCATCGTTCTGGTCGCCCGTCGCCAACAGCCCCTGGCTGACGCCGTCTCGGATCTGGAGAAGCTGGGAGTGACGGCGCACGCCCATCCGGCCGACGTGGCGGACCGCGACGCTCTCAAGGCTACCGTTGACACCATCCTCCAGAGCTATGGCGCGCCAGACATCCTAGTCAACGCCGCGGGCATCAACCTCCGTCCACCTCTGTCTGATCTCACCGAGTCCGACTGGGACGCCACCCTCGCCGCGAACCTGACGGCGCCCTTCATCCTGGGCCAGGCGTGCGGGCCCCTCATGGCCGCCCGCGGGTCGGGCCGCATCATCAACGTCGTCTCGCAGCAGGCATTCAGGGCGTACGGCAACAGCGGCGCATACGGCGCCAGCAAGGCCGGGCTGGTGGCCCTGACGCGGAGCCAGGCCGAGGCGTGGAGCAGCCGGGGCGTCATGTGCAACGCCGTGGCGCCCGGGGTCGTGCAGACGCCCCTGACGGCTGCGGTGTTTGAAGACGAGGACAGGGCGAGGGCCCATGCGGCGAGGACCATGGTTGGGAGGAATGGCGCGCCGGAGGACTTTGAGGGCGTGGTTGTGTGGTTGGCTAGTCGGGCGAGCGATGCGGTGACGGGGCAGACGATCTTTGTGGATGGTGGCTATTCGGCGACATAAGAGATGATGAATGTAGGTCTTCCTGGAGCTCGGCATCACACGATGCCATATATACACAAGACATCTCTTGTAAGAGATATTGCTTCGTATGGAAGGGCATAGACATGCACGTGTCGACGCAAGGTCGTCAAGTGCTCTGCCTCGTTTGGAAAGGCGAGCTCGGGTATGGTCTCTAAATAACATAATGATACTTGTGCAATGAGTATGAGGGACGCCCTATTCCAAGGCAGTCCTGAACTGTGTTGGTAGCTGGATATATCTACAATGCTATATTACAGCGCTGATTGTACAATGGTATCGTCACAAACCACGTTTGACGCCCACGCAGTCCTTGGCGTTCTGGTGTTTTAGTCCTGCAATAGCTTTATGCCTTGCCACGCAGATACTCCCTCTCCCGCGCCTTGTCGTACTTGCCGGTGCCAGTCACTGGCAGGCCACGCTTCTCCAGCTCCTGAACAATGACCTTCCAGCGTCCCACCATCTTATGCTTGTCCACGGGAGTGACCCGTCTTGAGTAAACTTGGACATTGGGGAGGCTGAGCAGATCGCCGCTTGTCTCGATAGCCTCGGCCACCTTCGTAGGCTGCGGCGGCTTAACGAGTATGTTGAGGAGTTGTTGTACGTTTTGTATCGAATGGAGCTTCCCGTCAGGGATGACATGACCTGTAAGCTGAAGAATACGTTTTGAAATCTTGAAAAGAAAGGTTAGCATATGTATTGGACAGGATGGTCAGGAGAAACATACAGCGAACTTCAGTCGAGGATCCTGTAGAGAAACATTCTTCCAGCTCTTATCCCACGACTGTAAGTATTCTCTCGCTTCCTCGGCGCTGAACTCGCCCGGTGCGGTTGGTTGCGAGGCACCTGATGCCTCCTCCTCTACCGGCCTCCACCTTAAATCTTCGACGACTTTGCTGGTATCGCCCTTCAAGGTCGCAGCTCCATTTTCAGCAACCTCAACGCCCAGAGCCAGAGCTCGGAGCAGTTCTTCCCTGCCGCCCCGCTCCCAAAGTGCCGCGAGAGACTCGGATCCGGCCTCCCGCCATGCTAGAGCCTCCACAACTGCTCGTCGCGCAAGAACCTCGAGCAAGCTTGCATCTCGCACCTTCTCCTTGGGTCCAAACCCGACAAAATCGCTGCTCGGGCTCCAATGACTCTCGTCCTCCCACCAGTTCTCCAGCCCGCCAACCCACTCTAGTCCTTCTATGTTCTCGGCTGGCACATAGGGCGAGCTGTCGAGCTGCTCCTTCGTCGGAGCGACAGTGACGCTCGAGGGCAGCTTCAGATTGGTCTGGATCTCTGGGACGGCGAACTCCTCCTCCCAACCCTCGGGTGTCTGCTCCTCCACGCGCGCCTCAACCTGAGTTTCTTCCTCTGGAGTCGCCTTGTACGGGTCCTCAGGGCCTGGCGGAGTATCGCGCCAGAGTTTGCGGCGGTAATGTTCGGTGGTGGACTGGCGGCTCACGGGCGTCGTGGAGAGATTCCGCTGTTGCACGCATGCAGATGCTCTGCACAGTGTTCTGCCCGCCAATGACGGGGAGTGTGACAGGCTCACAGAGCCCAATGGCCTGGGTAGCCGCGATATACGGCGCATTGTGAGTCTGCTGGAAGTCCAATTCGCTGTATGCGTGTTTGGACGGAGTATCATTTGATGAAGCTCGAGGCTCGAAAATTTGGCCAGCGCGCCGCCGAGGTGGACCCTGCACCCGGACGGGGATTCGGTGGCGCACGGGCCATGGTGGCTTGTCGAGCATCATCAGCAAGGCGGCGGATCTCTCCTTGGACATTACCACCCCAGTCTAACCTACTGTACATACGATTATCTACAGTGTATTGCTTGTGGATGCTCCTCCGAGAATCCAATGATCTCTTCGTGATATAACAGCGTGGTCGCAGAGATGAACCGATTATCTCTGATTATACTGCTGCTCGGTGCTCTTGCGTCGCTAGCAGTAGCAGCCTGTAAGTTGCCTTGGCTCTACCTGACTGCCTATCCAGAGCTCACACTGATCCGATGACAGCTGCGCCGACCTTTTGCAAATGTACTTGCTTCACAAACAGCACCATCATTGAGATCACCAACAAGCCTAAGACACCGCCCGCGAAGGACCCTTCACCCGTGGATGGTGACAAGAAGCCTGCGACGCCAGACGAGTCGCCCATCTCGCAGCGCGGGGAGGAGCGCCTGGCCAAGAGGGCCGGTCCCGCCTCGTGCTCGCAGTGCAACCGCGCCTTCTGCCTCGACTACAACCTGCCGATCTGCAAGGGCGCGGAGGAGAAGGATGTGGTGACCATGTGCTTCCAGCGGGACAGCCGCAAGGACCAGATCATCGTGTGGGGATTCATCGTCGGCACGCTGGGGCTGCTGGGCTGGGCCGGCGCGCAGAAGGTCATTGAGATGAGGGACAAGGGGAGAGCGATGGGCATTGGCCTGGGAGGGTCTGGAGGAGGAGGAAGTGCGGCTAGAAGCCCTGGGGTTCCGTGGCCGGGGAGTGCTGGGCGTGGGCAAGCGCCTGCTCGAGGAAACGGTGCCTCGAGGGGGGCTTATCAGGTTGTGGACGATGATGCCGCAGAAGGTGGAAGTCGGAGTAGCGCAGGTTGACACGTTTTCAGTTATATCTACGTGCATGTTTGGGATAGGTGTACATGGCAGCTCATACCATGAATAATATATTATCAACCCAGTCCTAGATGAAACAAATTATATGTGTGAGTTTAAAGGATGTTTCCGGCCCGAAACGAGGCCTCATTGAATATATCCTGACATATTCTTACGTGTTCATGCTGCTTAGGAGCATTAGAGATGTAGGTTAGTCATACATGAGATAGTCAACCGTCGTCTGTGTTCTACTTCTATAAAGCCTCGAAGCAACTATAACCATGTTGGTATCTCCTCCCAGTGTCTTATTGTTACAGCTTATTCATCCCCTTCGTGTCATCCCTTCAAGTGATGATCACAATGGAGAAAGACGACAACAAAAAATTTGACCCAGGACCGACCCATGAATGGACATGGTACGATCACAAGTTGATAGCGGCCATCTACCGGGGGCAAGGCAGACAGCCTCTACCCTCCTACCTCTCTGAGTGTTTATGATCTCTCAAAAGGTCAAGCCCATAAAGTATGAGGAGAGAAACTCCAAGAAAACTGAGTCTTTAACGGTCAAGACGTTGTCTCATTATATACTTCTCGCTGCAAGTGGTCCGTGCGAGCGTGCAAACTTCTGAAGAAACGCACTCTCGAATAATACAGACATGAAGCCGGCTTATGGGTGTTTTAACTGTATCTAGACAGGATCAATGGATGGATGGGTGTAGGTGGTGTGGGCCTGAAGCACGCAGCAAATAGCATGCCCGGAAAGGATTTACAGCCACTCCGGGTCCTCCATTTGTAGGCGGGCACTTGAATTGGGATAGGTAGTGCAGTGCAAGCAACCAGGTAACGTTAGCGTCCATTGGCCGTAGCGGCAACTGCAAGTCTAGTCTGGAGCAAGGGTAAAAATCTCCTGATGCGCTGAACTTTTGATCCCCGAACGAGCTTCCCGCGACGCCTTTTTCCTACACCTCGTCCCGGGCCGGCCACCAACAAAAAAAAAAAGCTCTTGAATTGGTAAAGGAGGACAGGATACCAGGCCCTCCTTTACAAGTCAAGACAGGACACAGCCCTCACAGACAATGGCTGTCACCACCTCCGCTCCGAGGAGCGTCTCGGACGCCACCCGCTTCACCCAGAACACGCCCCATGCCACCTCGAAGCCCTCGGCAAGCTCCTCCCCGGCCCAGAATGCCTCCAGATTCCCCCCAGCCTCCGGATCACGATCCTCTCCGCCGGCCGGGGGCGGCTCCGCACCGCCGAGAGAGACCCCCGAGCAGCGTGTTGCACGTCTACGAGCAGCTCACCTGGCAGCCAAGCAGGCCGAGGTGTCCAGGTTCGACCGGGTCGTCTCTGGGTCCCGGAGGTTCTTCGACTCCGCGCACAAGTTCACCGTCGTATCTCTGCTGGGTTTCACAGGTGCGGACATCATTGCCACTCTGTCATTGGCAGATGACTGAACCTCCAATGAGCCTTGGTCCACGTGCTAACTGACACCCTCAGCAATCGCCGGCCTCCTAACCGTCTACACGACCGTCGACATGCTGCGCTACAACCGGAAGCGGAAGTCCGAGTTCGTGGAGGCGCAGCGGCAGATGAGCGCCGACAGCCTCGAGGCGGCACGCCTCGCGTACATGCGCGGCGACGCCACGGACGAGCAGATCGCGCTGGTGGAGGAGGCCAACGCGCGGGCCGGCGGCGCCGGCAGCTTCTTCAAGGCACCCAGCATACTCGGCGCGCCCAAGGCCGTCGACCGGTCGTCGGGAGGCGAGGGCGAAGCGAGCAGCGGGAAGCTGAACACGGGCGCGACGTGGCCGGGCGCGGCGACGGCGGCGGACGGGGCCAAGACGGCCACGGGCCTGAAGGCGTGGCTGTTCTCGAGCTTGAAGAAGGAGGAGGAGGGCGAGGACGTCGGCACGGGCGAGCGCCGCCTGGGCTGGGAGTCCCTTAGCGAGGAGGACGACGGCACCGGCGTGCGGGACAGCGACCTTGTCCGCGCGATCGAGGAGAAGCAGGCATACATCAAGTCCAAGGCCGCGCAGGCCTTCGAGAAGGAGAAGCAAAACCAGCGGAAGGGAGGCCCTCTTGATCGAGTAGGCGTGGAGCCACCTGCTGCCGCTTCTGCCGATGAACCGTCGAAGAAGAAGGGCTGGTGGTGGTAATCGATAATCATCCATCGTGGGCGAGGGTGTACAGTGTCTTCATCACCCCGACGAAAACAGGCAAGAGTCTTGAGATAGGGCTCTGTCATAGGCTGTATCATACGTGTAGAAAAAGCTGTGCATATCACCGGCGTCAGGTACATAGACAAGGTTCAAATCTCCGAAATACTCTTTCGAGGTCATCATGGCCCATTCGACATACTGTGTGAATCATGTTACCACGATATTTGAATACCACACCAAATCACATCTATGAAGATTGATCTCATCTTGGGAATAGCAAGTTCAGTATGATTGTATACAACATCTACTAAAATTGTATCACTTCCTTGATACAGGCAAACGCCACCTTGTCCCATGCAATTTAGTCGTCGGCCTAACCAACCGACACTAATGAACGCCCAACACCGCCACAAAGAACGCTATGCGATGATTGTTTGTGATTTATACATATGAAAAACACCTCGTTGTGAGGGATGACAAACAAGGAAAGCCTCTCGTCTCGTATACTCATTGCCACAAATCAAGTGACAATCTAGACAAGAGGGTGAAGGATAGTTACTCGTTCTTCACGAGACGATGATGTGGTTGAAATGACCAGGGACTTTCTGCCGACACTTCTCGCAGTCTGCTCTGTATCCTATGCTGAACGACTTCTTCATGCCGGGCTGCAGAGTCCAGTTGTTGAGAGTGTGCCGAGACCGTGTGTGGCCCTTCTTCGGGCTGGGCGTCGAACACGGCTCGACATCCATCGCTTCTTCTGAAGCGTGGGCTCCATATGCGTCCATGTGAGCGTGAGAATGGTCGGCCACAGGGCTCTCCCCTTGTGTGGTACCACTGTAGGCCATGGCCGATGCGGCTCGCGGTGGCATGCCCGGATGTTGCCGAATGGACGGCGAGCCGTCGAGGACCATGACGGGCGAACCGCTCTCCTCGCCTCCGCTTTCACTAATGGGTGAGGGAAGTCGTCGGTTCTGCACCATGCCCCAGTCTGCCATCGCAGAGGCATTGTCCAGAGACCGGGGCACCGATCGGTCGGCCACTATGCCGGCCATACTCGAGAACGCCTCGTGATGCCGAGTGCCGTTGTGGTAGCCATCTGCTGGCTGCATCATATTGCCGGCAGCACCGCCCCAGTTGTTACCTCGCACTTGGGCCGCAAAGCTGCAATTGATGGGCGTTGGCATCCGGCCGTTGATGCTGCCTGGTATGACGAGGTCGGGCTGTGACGGGCCGGGCTCCAGGTGGCTGGGGTCGGATTCTGTCTGGCTGGGCTGCTCGTCCATGTCCATGTCGGTATCTCCATACCTATCGACCATCTCTGGCGCTTCTTGGAAAGGTGATGGGTCTTGGGACATGACCACGGTTGGCGAGGACCATGGCGAGAAGTGAGACTTGGGCTGATCATATAGTTGTTGCCTCTGTGGCGCCTGCTCCTGCCCCTGCCCCTGCCCGATTGCGCTCGTTTCTTCCGAATCAGAATCCGCCGGGGTGATCGTGTGAGGCTGGGGGTGCACGGAGGTCTGCCCGAAGCTGGGTACCGACCATCGCTTGGAGGCCGGAGAGGTCCGAAGCGGCAGGGCTTGTAGGCGTTTCTAGATGACTGTGAGCGCGGTCCCGAGGCAACGAGGCACGGAATCAAAACCTACACTTCGATGCTCGGTGAAGCCAAGGGTGCCGCCGATGGCAATGTCCTCATACTCATCCTCCCGGGTTCGCTTTCGGGGCGAATCAGCCCAACTCTCGGTGGTAAACATGGCGTTGGGTCTGTGAGTCGAGGAGAGGTTCCCTGAAATCGATGTCGGTCCAGATGAGAAGCTCCGAGTACGGATAGAAGGCTGCGTGAGACCTCTCTTGACCTTGGATGGCCGGGCCGTCCGAGGCAGTACGTGGACGTGGACTGGTTCTCTCCAAGTCTTCAACCCGGAAGAGAGCCGAGCGGGACTACCAGGGTACGCAACACGGCGGGCGTTGCTTTGACTTGAGGAAACTGCCGGGTTCGCCGCCTCGATCTATGTTCATTCAATGTCGGCGGATTACGGCCTTCCTTGTCGACTGTGTCGAGGTCGAGAAGAGAGGGAGGCTCAGCCCGAGGACAAAGAGCCGCTAGTGGGTGTGAGTGTGGGTGGGTGCTGGATGGCGGCGGGTGACGCAAGGCAGATAGAAGCCGCGGTAGGCTGCAGTGATCGAAATAGCAGTGTAAGCGACCAGCGTCCGCAGATAACAACGTCGCGATGCAGCAGCCTGGAGATGGATGGATGGATAGATTGTATAACAAGGAAAAAGAGATAAGATGGAAGGGAAAAGAGAGATATGGTTTATTTTCAGATCAAAAGCAATAAGTGCAGGCCAATTGGGATTGAATCAAGTGTAGAGGAGATGCAGGTGGTTCGGGAACGCAGGGAGGCGCTGGGAGGTTGGGGTAGCGTCTAGATTTAGGTAGACTAGAGACCTCCGGCCTCCAAGTATCCTTTTTTAGTCTGCCTGTAGTTCCCTCTGCCACAATGCAAGGAAGCTGGAGCGGCCTCACGAAGGATGGAGGGGATTGACAAGGTACATACGTCAGTCCGTCAGTCCGTCAGTCAAGGGAGACGATCAACAACAACCTTGCAAGAGAGAAACAGACAGGCAGGTAAGGAGACGTCGAGTCAATTCCAGTGCATCCTGCAGGCAACACGAGAAAAGAAGAGGCTCGGGAAAGCCAGTGAGCGGTACAGCAAGAAATGAGAATACAATTAAATAAACAGTAAAATATCAGTCAGATAGTAACAGTAACAGTAATAAACAAATAATAGAGAGAATGTCAGGCAAAAGTACAGTACAATGCAAAGAGAAGGGCTGAGTGTTGGTGATGGTGTTTTGGTAGATGAAATGAAGAAGCAGTTCTTTTCCTCGTACCTTTTTTTCAGATTCTGAGATTATATTACGATACTGTACCGGTATTAGCGCCGAACCCGACACGCGCCGTGAGCCTCGCTGTCTCCCTTGTTTGTTGCTTTGCGCACAGGCACAGGCACAGGCACAGTCAGGCCAGGCCAGCCGAGGCGAGCGAGTGTGAGGGCGTCGGCGGCAGCAATCGGCAGGGAAACAACCAGATCGATCTTCTCCTTCCAGAGTCTGGCGTGTCCCCTTTTTGTTGTCGTCACTACCTCCAGTACAGTAGTTTGGCCCAGGGTCTGAGCGGGGTGGATCGGATCAGTGCACAGAGGCTCCCGACTCGCCGGATAGCCGTTCGTCGAAATGTCACAGCGAGGATTGGCGGTCGGTTTCAGGATTGCTTCAGACACGGCAGGGAAGAGGCACAACGTCTCTCGACTCTTGACGCTCTCAGTGGCCAGATCCAAAATCCAGATCGAGACCCAGACTCAGACTCAGACTGAGGTTCGTAGTTTGGTTGGACTCCAGTCTCTCCACTACCTTGGACTTGAACCTCAGGCACTAGCTGCGAGAGAGATGGATGATTTCGAGTTCCAAGTGGGCGGTTCGCCCGTAGCTTTTTTTGCTCAGTCTCGTTTCTCTCTATGAACTGTTATCTTCTTACTTTATTGTTTCGGCTGTTCATTACATGTACTTGAGAATGTGGAAAAGGTGAAGAGCCAGGGCCTACGCGACTTTAACAATGGCTTCGTGGAGGCTTGGCAGTTGATGTAGTAGAGCTCAGCCTACTTAACTACTTTCCTACAATACGCCCGGCTACACTACGATATGCACACTCTTGACACTTACTGAATCGACGTATTTTCTATCCGTCAATGACAATGTACGGATGCACATGTACAGACAGGCTGCGGGTGCTCAGCCGCAATGCCTTGCATTTTGCCCTGGTGCTCGACCACTAGATCACGGCTTCTGATCCAGTCCGAGTCCTCAGATTTGAATGAGAGATATCTCGGCAGCTCTCTAAGCCTTCCAATCGAGACTACCACTCTAGAAACTCCCAGCTAGCATTGGACATCATGCCCGTACATGCAACCTATCTGAATGAAGTCTCAAAAGGCTCTTGGCGTCCGTTTGAAGCTTAACCAGTCATGTCAGTAAAATCAATATTCACCTTTCCCAACATCAATGGAAGCCACCCGATCGCAAGGTTACGACCGCATGTGATCTTCAGTGCAAATCCGGCCCGTGAAGCATTCATATTGTTTGAAGACGAGAACCAACCTGGGAGCTGAGGTGGACTGTGTGGAATCACCTACATAGCATGGCCGCAAAGGAAAGGTGGTTGCGGTGCTGCTGCAGGTTGTTTTGGGGTGTAGTGTAGCAAACCCCAGCATGAAAGCATTCTTGTTAAATGTCTTGATGATAGTCATAGTCTTTGGTGTTGACTTAGCCAGTGTTGATGAGACTGCATTCAGCTGGAAAGGCTTCATCGTCCAGAAATTGTTCGTTCGACCTCACTTGCTTAATGTAGGCTGAAGAGTTGTTACTTTTTGTATTCAACTCGGAGCAGACCTGTTCACTTAGTCTCTCATCCCGTCCTATCCTTATCTTAAGCTGTAGAACAGCAATGTGTACTTTGACTAGGTCCACTCAAAATATCATGCCCAAAAGATGATATTGTCCTATGAGGAGTTACAAACGTCAGGCGTGCCCATCTCCCGTCTTGATGGATGATGGATCCTCCACTTACACTTACACCACTTACAGACGGCAGGCCGCCTTATTGGCCAGCGGATGTCGCCGAATGTGCCGACTCTGCTGAGTGCTGCCCAGGTGAAGGTGAGGGCCGTGGTGGTGGGGCCCAGATGGAAGGCGGTGAGAATTTTCTGCAGTCGCAGGACCCCTCCTCTCCTCTCAGTCCTCTGCAGTTACCCCTCCCCCTCCCCCGCCAGCCGCAGGTCCAGGCCAAACAGCCAGTCTCAGTGAGTGAGCCACAGCGCAACAGCGCACAGCTCGAGAGGCGTTAAACCCAAAGTGAGCACCCTCCGAGATGGCTCCGTCAATGTGGCGTCTCCCAATTGAAATTTCGAGATTTCTGCTACACCGACCTCGACCACTGACCTCTTATGATATTGAAGCCCCAACTTTGTAATTCTCCCTTTTTCAGTGCCTGTCTCTGCCTTCAGCTCCCTCCGTCTGTTGTAATTCTGCTCGATTGATTGTCCCAAAGGTAAGTTAATTGGCTTTTCTCCCCGTTTGCGCCGTGTTACAAGAAATTCCATTACGTCGTCGTCTCTGCTTGTGGATTTTTCTAACGGCGGGTTTTCCTTCTGACTCACCTGGACCTCTTCGTCTCTCTCTCTCTCCTACGCAATCTAATCTGTTGACCCCTAACCACCAAATCTGATTGTTTCTGCCCCTTGCTCTACATGTTCTGTTCTTTTCTGCTTGATTTGATCCTAATACGACCACAAGCTCCATCCAATAGATCATACTGCCTGCTGACTTGCAAGACCAGACCCCTCCATCATCCAATTGAAGCTGGCAAACCGACCAGTGGCACTCCTCAGGAACCGCACGAACAGCCTCCTCCTTCTCGGACGACAAAATCTCCCCTTTAAATCTGTCCTCCCCAGCCTTTCTCGACCTCTCTGTCTCTCTGCCAGCCTCCTCTCGCCTCGTGTCAGGCCCTTCAAGATGCCTGGAATCGACATGGCCCCGCTCGTCGCCGACGACATGAGAGGTATGACTTCACATCTTTGCTTTGATGTCCTGCCCAGCTCTCGGCCGTGCAATTGGTCGCACATCTCTTACCCAATTGCCCTTTCTCCTCTATATCCTTCTTCCCGCCGTCCCCGTTCCTCATCTATTGCTGCTACTCCTTCCTCGAGATCCAATGCGCTGACCAGCACTTCCTCCGGCACAGTCCTGGGCCAGGACCCTCTCATCCAGCCTGCGCTCCTGATCTCCGACATCCCCATGACCGACTCTGCCCTTCAGACCGTCGTCAAGGGCAGACGAGATGCCGTCGGCGTCATCATGGGCCGCAACGACCGCCTGCTGGTCATCGTTGGACCCTGCTCCATCCACGACCCCAAGACCGCCCTCGAGTACGCCGCCCGCCTCAAGGCACTGGCCGAGAAGCTCTCCGACGACCTCGTCATCATCATGCGCGCCTACCTCGAGAAGCCCCGCACAACCGTCGGCTGGAAGGGCCTGATCAACGACCCGGACATCGACCAGACCTTCAAGATCAACAAGGGCCTGCGTGTCTCCAGACAGCTTTTCTGTGACCTGACCTCCAGCGGCGTGCCCATCGCCAGCGAAATGCTCGACACCATCTCCCCCCAGTTCCTCGCCGACTTCATCTCGGTCGGCGCCATCGGCGCGCGCACCACGGAGAGCCAGCTGCATCGTGAGCTTGCCTCGGGCCTGTCTTTCCCCGTCGGCTTCAAGAACGGCACCGACGGAAGTCTGGGCGTGGCCATTGATGCGATTGGCGCGGCGGCCTCGAAGCACCACTTCATGGGCGTCACTAAGCAGGGGCTCGCTGCCATCACGCGGACAAAGGGCAACGAGCACGGCTTCGTCATCCTGCGGGGCGGGAGCAAGGGCACCAACTACGACAAGGAGAGCATCCAGCAGGCAAAGGACACCCTCATCAAGAAGGGCCAGAAGCTCGCCATCATGGTGGACTGCTCACACGGTAAGTCGAGCGAACAAAAACACAACTTTTGAAGGTTGGTGAGCAGCATGCTGACGCGAAGATAGGTAACTCGAACAAAGACCACCGCAACCAGCCCAAGGTCGCCAAGGTCATTGCCGACCAGCTGCGTGAGGGCGAGAAGGCCATCATCGGCGTCATGATCGAGTCGAACATCAACGAGGGCAACCAGAAGGTACCAGCCGAGGGCCCTGCGGCTCTGAAGAAGGGCGTCAGCATCACGGATGCCTGCATCGACTGGGACAGCACCGTGACTGTCCTAGAGGACCTCGCTGCCGCCGTCCGGGAGCGGAGAGAGAAGAACAAGGGCCACGCCAACGGCAACACCGCGGCCAAGGCCACCCTGCTGGAGGAGGAGTAAATACATAGTGTCGACGTTCCGGCGCGAGCAATTGGCGCTTGGGTGTTTTTTCGAAACTTTTTGCATGATATCAGGGGCGTAAACAAATCATCTGGTCGCAGAATACAGACGGTGACGAGATAGCGAGGATTGTTTGTGATCCCCAATCATCATTGAAGAATGGATCGATGGGATCGATGGGTCGCATCAGGGTGTTTGGCCAGCCCTTGAATGGCCCGGGAACATAAAAGTTCGGGTGAAACCTATTTAGTTGCTATCTTTTTAATACAAGGACCGGCATGCAGCTTGTTGCATCTCCTGCGATGCTCAACGTCGTGATGGCCGTTCATCGAATGTCTCAAGCTCCGTGGAAGCTCAAGTATCGATCGGCATTGGCAAAGGCGGGCCTTTCCGTCTCCGAAGCAGGAAGCCGCTGGGCATCCGTGATGGTTGACGTCTGTAAAAAAAACAAGTCCGGTCTGCACCAAAGCTCCGGCCCCGTAGCCGTATTGTAGTAGGTAGATAAGGCTCTGCGCTAAGATCACCTCTAATTACCGTTCGCCGTGGACTTCCACCGCCTGGGGCCAATCAACTACAAGGGACCAACCTTCTACAGCGAGGCGCTGCACTGCCCCGCGCCAGGCAAACGAAGGATTGACGAAGCCATTTTGACGCCTGAGGTGGACATGCATGCATGCGAGAGGCCCGGGACTTTTTTTTTTTTGTTATTACGTGTGTCGCGTCCAGTAGTCAATGAGGGAACGGAGGGCCTCCTGAGAGCAGCTTCTCTGGGTGTTTTGAGAGAGTGCTGGCTCGCCAGACAGGACAGGACAGGACTGTCACGGAAGCAGCAGCAGCAGCAGCAGCAGCAGCATGACTCCAGACGCCATCGAGGCGCTGTTCAGGCGCACCGAGGGCAGCAGCGTCACGCCGCAGAGTGTGGATGCTGACGAGGACGAGGAAGTGAGCATCACGGCCCAGGAGCGCGAGTACAGAACCGGCAAGCTGAGGGAAGTGCTGCTGGATGCTCAGACGGCATGGGTGTCTGGCTCGGAAGAGATCGATGCCATTGCTGAGAAGCTTGGGGATGGGAGCAGAGATCGTAAGTGACTTTGTCTTTTAGAAGGCATGATACTGCTGGTCAGCGAACATGGCGGATATGTGCGGATTCAACTGACAATGTATCTCAAGCTTCATGGCGCCGGGTGATAGGAGATTCCGGACTCCTAGGCTTCTTTCTCAGCATTATTGCCAACCAGGATCTCAGGTTACCTTTGAAGATTCACACATTACGGCTGATTGGAAACTCTTGTGCTGATACCGGTACGTCTGATGCTCTGCCGATTCAAGGGTCTTGCTGACAAAGTCTTAGATCAGAATCGTGCCCTCGTTCTAAATGCAAATCGTTTGAGAGATATCATCAACCTGCTCGCGGATGATTCAATATTGGCTTTTGTGATACCCGTTTTATACAACATCTTAGTCGACTATGGTAAGTATAATAAGGTTAAGAGACCCAAACATAATTGCTGATGACATTGAAGAGCCCGCTCAACTGCGAGCATGTCAGGCTGGACTCAGCAACGAGCTGATTGGCATCCTGTCTGGCCCACGCCTCGAGAATTGCAGAGCCTTCATCAACATTATCTGCAAGATCCTTGCGCTTATGATCACCCAAGAGCCAGAACCAAAACTGGCGAGCCCTGCCACTCCTATAGTCCTTTTAAGAGTGGCTGCCGATTACAGGTCGCCGGTTGACCTGGAAGATTATAGCTTACTGGCCTCAGTGGCTCTGTCCTACCTCGCGCATGAGGACTTCCAGTCATACCTCCTCACTACGGAGGGACCATGGCTGGTACTGAATGTCTTTGCCGAGTCGTATACTCGGTTTGGTGATTTGGCCTCTACTCTTGATCCCGAGGAAGCGGCACAGCTCAGAACGACACAGAATGCCTTCGTGCAGGTCCTGTCCGATCTCTCAGCATTACCTACATTCCTTGGCTTCAGCGGGCTCGCGAGCCCCGTCGTGCAGACTCTACAAAGCTGGCTACGTCAGCCATCATACTTCGCGGCCATGCAAACTGCTGCGTGTCTTTCCCTTGGCAATCTGGCACGGTCCGATGAGTCGAGTGTTGCATTTGTCCGGGACTATCAGATCCATCTACCCCTAATATCACTCCTTTCCAACCCTTACAGATCACCCACAGTCTCTCCGACGGTCGACTCTCCTCCTCCTGCTCAACTCCTGCACGCCATCTTATCTTTCCTCAAAAATCTCGCCATCCCCGCCTCCAACAAGCCGCTCTTGTCGCCTCTCTTCGACTCGAGCATCCTCCCTCGCTACTGGCACCTGGACTCGCAGCCCCAGACCCAGTTCGCCGCCGTGTCTCTGACCCGTCTCCTCCTCGTCGGCTGTCCCGCCAACGTGAAGCGGCTGTGCGCGCCCCTGAGCGCAGACCCGAACTCGCCCGCCCACGACCGCAGCAGCCTGCACGTGCTGTCGGACCTCTTCGACCGCATCGACGCCGAGCCCACCAAGATGGAGATTGCGCGCGCCATCGCCGCCGCGTGCCGCGTGCTGCACTCGACGCCCGTGCTGCCCATCCTGCCGGACGAGTGGCACGTCGCCGAGGGCCGCGGCGAGGGCTACGTCTTCCAGCCGCCCAAGGAGGGGGAGGGGGCCGGTGCCTCCGCCTCCGCCTCCGCCTCGGGCCCGCCGCCGACGTCGCCCGACGAGGACCTGGGCGTGCTGCTCTCGCCGGGCGTGGGCCGCCGCGCGCGCTTCTACGACGCCCACGCGGACATCTCGCGCCCGCTCAGCTTCCTCGTGCGCCAGACGCGGTTCCCCGCGCTGCGGTCCGAGGCGTGGTTCGTGCTCGCGCTGATGAGCCGCTCGCCCGAGGGCGCGCGCGTGGTCGTGCGCGCGATGCAGCCGTTCGAGGCGTGCCGGGCGCTCATCGAGGCCATCACGGGCCGCGACATGTTCGACGGGCACGAGCTGCTCGGCGCGTCGCCGCCGACGTCGGGCCCCGAGATGGACAGCGAGTTCGCGGCGGGCATGCAGCGGCTGCGGTCAGGGGCCAGCAGTAGTGGCGGCGTGGACATGAACAATGCCGTCGAGCAGCTCGGGCTGGAGCCGCAGCAGGTCGACCCGGCGAGGGCGGCCAACATGGCCAAGGTGGACCGGGAAAACGGGCTGGTGCTGGTGGCGGAGGTGTTGAAGGACCATGTGCTGGATCTGACGCCGTTCAGGAGAAGCATGTTTGAGGAGCTGCTCAGGACGGGCGGCGAGCTCGTCATACACCAGAGAGCGGAGGATAAGGATATAGCGGTGTCTTAGGAGCACCAAGTAGCTTGCCCTGGAAGGGTGGCATCCCATCTAATGCAGGGTGATTTGGGTGGGCTGGAGGGACTACGGAACCTGTACCTTTAACTCCCTCTCCCCTCTGATCCGTAGCCATCTTGTAAGAAATGTAAAAATCTACAATTTGGATACCACATCACCAATCAAGTCAACATCAAGACAGTTTCACGACAAGTGGTGGTCTCTTGAGTGTGCTTTTTTCCATTTTTGCATTCATTTTTGGAATACACCTAGCAAATGCCGTGATGCGGAGAGAAAATGTTTCTTAACCATGTCCAACCCGTTGCGGACAAGGCCGTAGTAAGAAATTCCACAGATCCTCTTTTTCCCATAGCAGGCAGCAGCAACGCGAAAGCAGACCAAACCGAACGACCAGAATAGATGATCCCTTTCCATTCCCCTTGCTTCACACCTGTCCGATGATCCGATCCGTTTATTTCTTGGCCGTCTCGGCCTCCGCCTTGTCCCTGGCACGCTTCTCCCGGGCGCCCTGGTATCTGGCGTCGGAGCGGGCCTTGCGCAGGGCGACGTAGGCGCCGCCTTCGACGGGGGCGGGCAGGTCGGACTTCTTGATCTCCTTGAGGGCCTTGTCGGCGTGGACGATGGGCAGGGCGACGCCCGTCTTGGCGGCGATCTCCTTGGTGGCGCGGTCCTCCTTGGAGCTGTCGCCGGCCTTGGGCTTGTTGCTCTTGCGGGGGAAGACGATCAGGCGGGCCTTGTAGGCCTTGAGGCGCTCGACGTTGGCGGCGAGGGACTCCTCGGACAGGTTCTGGCGGCGGCCATCGACGGCGATACCGATGGTGGGGGCATATTGACGGGGAATGCCAGCAGCCTGGTCAAAATAGTTAGATCAAAATTTTTCCCATGAAAGATGGCACGATCCCGGTCTATTCACAACCAGACCCGGGGACTTTTGAGACGGCCATCTTAGATGCTGGGAATATATACCTTCAGCTCAGCGAGGGTGAAGCCACGGCCGGCACGGACTCGTCGGTTGTATCTAATGGTCGGGCATCGCACAACGGGTCTGAGGAGGTCGACAGGGCGAGGAGCGACGGCAGCAGCCTTGGCACGGCGGGCGTCTCTTCTGGTGGCCTTCTTGCCGGGCTGTAGAAAAACAGTCAGACACCAATTCACAATCCATTCTTCCGTTCTCCTCCATCTCATCACGTCTTTTCCCATTCGAGGAGGATCAATCGAGGCATACCTGGTCGAAGTGGCACCTGACACGGCGCTGCCAATCCTTTCGGAAATCTGTATACACTGTTAGCTGCTGATTCCCCTGGAGAAATAATTGTAGACGTTGTCGCCGCCAAGTGCGTTCGAGGTCGTCGGGAGGAGAGACTAACGGTTCTTTACGATCTGGTTGTTGTGCTTGATCGCCTGTCAAGGAGAAAATCAACAGTCAGCATCATCTTCTTCAATGCATCAGCGTTCGGTAGCGGTATGTCCTTACCATTTTGTCGTGCTCGCGATCAAGGACTGGTTGGTGATGTCGGTTGTCTCGAGGGTCGAGCTGGGGCGTAGAAAATCCAACACACCAAGAGAGCAGACCGTTCCCAGCGCACTAGAAAATTTTGGGGTTGAAAACCCTAACTTGGTGGGTGGGGCTTTCCTCCACCAGCAAATTTATTATTGCCTGGAATATCAGGCGCTTGCTGACCGAAACCACAGGGAAAATGAGGCCAGCTTTTGCCAGCTGCTGACGGCTGTGAACTTCAACGCAAACAAATTCTCAGTGATGGTGTACATAATCTAGATGGTCCTCAAGTCAATGATTGTGCCAAAACAATATTCTCTTCGTTGATTAAATATCAGAAGATTGCTTCGGTCCATGTATCAGGATCAAGATGTGCCGAATTCAACCCATCAAGACGAGCACTATTGCAAACTTCACAGGCAGGGAGACAAAAGACAGCATTTTAAAGATACAGTTCATTAATCCCCTTCGTGCAGGGTCTTCATATACTTGCTATAAGTGACATCGTTTCCTAGACCAATAGATGCCGCCATGAATATACATCATTACCAGAGTTTTGCATTATGTACAGGGAAAAAAGCAGCCACTTTGTAAAACCTCCCAACGCCGATATGCCGCTCGCTCTTCTCTTTCTTCTTTCAGACATCGAGAAACGAGTTGAGTGTTTGGTGTGAGACCGGCTGAGCCACCGAGGGTAAGAAGCCAAACAGGTCTCAGTGCTTTTGCGGCTGAGCCAGGTCGTCTATAAAGCCGAGTCGGTCGCGGTTCTCGTCGCACACTCGCGCGAATTCAAGCAGTAATCTCCACACGTAGAGCAGCATGTCTTCGCGCCGAAGCACCTGCTCGCCCCAGATCTTGCCTGTCTCGGCAATCATCCAGGCCGCCAGGTCACCCTTGATGTCTCGGGTGAAGTAGTCCAGCACGCCGTACAGGTCCTGGAACGTGTTGTCGAAGGGGGCAAAGTGGAGCCACGGCAGCAGCCTGTCGTCGTGCCACTCCGCATATATAGTGCTCTTGAGGGGCAGGCTCGTGGAGAGCAGCAGGCCCCTGAAGCGCGCGCTGAACGAGTTGCCGTCCACGTCCGGCATGTATTTATTCATGTACTGCTCCGCCATGGGCATGCTCGGCTTCTCGTGGAAGTAGGGGGCCACGTAGGTGCAATTCGACTCCTTCGGGAAGCACAACAAGTTGTTGAATCCCACGTCCGACATGTTGGTGAGCCATTCTCCCAACACGCCTTGGCGGCGGCGAGGGAAGTCGTATACGGCTTGCGGCGGCAGCTCAAAGGTCATGGCCCTTGCGCCGTTCCGCTCGACGTTGGTGACGGTGGTCCCGTTGAGCATCTCTACCAGACGGTGACGCTGGAAGTGCGGCCAATTGTCAGCCCTGTTGCGGCCGCCGGACGCCACACCGCGCCAAACAATGCCATCTTTCTTTTCCAGCCACGGCGGCCCGTGTGTCTCACCTCCCGAGTAGAACGGATCGTCAGTCAGATACATTGCACCGGGGATGAGAATTTCGTTGTTCAGAGGAAGCTTGCACCCGCCGAACAGGGGAATGAGCTCCTTGGTGGTGGACATGGTAATGGGCTCGACAAACGAGCCGTGCAATGCACGTAAATGCGGTTGGATGCACGGGTCAGATGCCGCTGTGAAGTTCTTTACATAACCCTTCTCAGAATAGGATGGAGCCCAGTCATCGGGAAACGCAGGCGGAAGCGAGTAGTCAGCCAGAGCAGGGACATCGTGGGCAGGCGATTTCGGCGCACAACCTGTCCTCGCAATGTTCCAGAACCTTGGCGAGTCTTCTTTGAGCCAAACGGGGTCGTATGGCTTCTTTCCCTCGATCGCATCTATCTTGGCCAAGCCAGTATATTTTTGGATGGTTTGGTCGAGTGGAGTAACCTTCCTCCACATGAGGGCCTTCTCGACGTAACCATTGATTTCTTCCCAAGGGGTAATGATACGGGACTCGTCCATATAGTTGATGGGCATATCAACGTCGGGCAGCCACTCTGCCGCCTCGGCCACGAGATCGGTCCAGTGCTTCAGCCATGGCACGCGACCCTTGGTATCGCCGACGCCCTCGGCGACACCGTTTCGCACACGGACGATATGGGACCAAGAGGCGGCTCGAGTAGCAGTCTGCTGAGCATCCAATGCCCAGAAGGGCAGAAGGTCGTGGTATATGCGATCGAAGAACTGCTCGACGATGACGGCATTGTGTTTCTTGGCATACTCGAACCATTTATCAAAGCCCGGAGGCGGGTGCCGGTGACGCCTCGCACGATATCGATGGGCGGCGGTCTTCAAGTCTTTCGACTGTTCGGAGAGGAGATTCTCTTGAGTGCGCTTGGCATAAGCGATTAGATCGTCGATGGGATGACGAGCCTCCGATGAGGCGTTGAGGGCGGCGAGGTAGGCATCGCTGAGGGCGACAGGCCGTGGCCGTGATCTGAAGTAGGATGTTGGGTCTGTGGAGGAGCGGAGGATCAAGAGCAAGGAGAGGAAAAGGGTGAAGAGGCAGGCAACGAGGCCATACCGCGCGAGGTTGGGCCAACCGATGAGGCGATGGCGCAGCGGCCAGGCGCGGTAGCCGGCTTTCAACACCATGCTACATAGACCAGCTACAGATATCGAGGTCTCGGGGAGGAAAGCGTCGAGAGCTCGCTCCGGGGGCGGCGGCACCAGTTCGATCTGCTGCCGATCGGAGTGGGAGAGCCGGCGATGGAGGTCGGCCGCGAGAGGTCAGATGCTTAAAAGGTAAGGTGGCTAGGTAGGTATGACGAGGACGGGGCCGGGTCGGACGAGGTTGAAACGATAGGCGGCGCCGTAGCGCGAGATTGACGTCGTTGAAGAAATTGCAGCAAGAAGATGATAAAGAAGCAATGACACCACCAAACGCCTCTGGAGGAGGGCGTGTTAGGACCAAAACCGTGGTCTTGATCTCTCTCGTTCGTCTTGTTGGAGTTCGATGAGATGCGAATGTTGGAGGAAATGGAGTGTGTGGGCGTGTGTCCACGGTAGTCGTAGATTGTAATGCGAATTGGAGGTCGGACCCAGACCCAGACCCAGACCCAGATCCAGCAGACGTATCCAGCACTAGAAGATGGCGAGGCCGCTAGCGGACAGTCGCTAGAATCGCTAAGAAAAAGTTGGATAGGCGAGTGGCAGGCTCGAGGCAGGCAAGCAGGAGAAGGGGGCCGGCAGCGGTTAGCGCAATCTTGACATGGTTCGTCATAATGTTATGTTAGACTAGCCTAGATACTTGGGTAGGTAATGTTAACATTCGAGCTGGGCCACCAGTGGATTACATTGCACACGTACCCCATTAGTCCACACTGTGCTCGACTACTGCACACTCGACTCAATGAACACTGTACGGTAGAGAGGTTAAAATTGTCGAAGATTTGCAGGTCTGCAAGAAGACTTTCGACAGGAGATACAGTGCATAATACAGTGTCCGTTACGTCAAATTGGTTAGTTGTTGCACATGCCGCGCGGGATGCTTGCGCAATGGCAATGCAGTCCCCATCGCATCGCATCTCCATCCTCATCCATCCATCACCATCACCCACTCGCCCGTCGCCTTACTATGTAATCATCCTTTTCCTGACAGAAACTGTACAGTATGTGAAAATATTTTCAGAACGCTTTGAGATATGTAGCCCGATATGAACAACTCATGTGAACACTCATTATGTCACGACCTCCTGCCGTTTTCGTGCGAGACTCTCGACTCTCTCTAGCTGACTTATGGTTACAAATTTTGGATTGTCTGTAAATAGATACCGGTACTACAGATATTGATCTCCAGTGCGGCGTTGTACTGTATAATACGATACTTGGCAACTCTTTCGGAGCAGAGCTCCCACATGCCTACCTCCCTACCTACCTCCCTACCTACCCGTAGTTACAATAGGTACCTCAGTACAGTGAAATGCATGGATATGGATGCAAGTCCCAGTATGCATGGCCGCATGCCTGCAACTTTACTGCTGCAATAAGCAAGCTACATTCGCCTTGGCCGTACCTGGAGCCTGGCTTGGGTCCTCTTCCCTGTTCCTGGTGAAGCTCCACCAAGCCCGCCACCCACGAGCTGCCTTCTCGGCCAGTCATTGGAGAATGCAACCTCAAGACCTCGCAGGGGGGCTTTCTCTTCCAAGGTCAGCGGCACTGAACCTTGCAATTGGCTGGCTGGGCTGGTCAATAAGCATCTTACTGTCCCTTTTAGCCTTTTGGAGCAACTGCAAATGTCAACCAAAATTCGATGTAAGAAATTGATCTGACCGTGATGGTATTCTTCTCTATAGTCTCTCGAAGCGATTCATCTCGAACTCTCTCTATTCTACTCGAAGACATTGCTCAAGACCGCTCATCTGGGTAATGTCGGTCCTGGCCAGGCCAGTGACTGTACAACTCAGTGTTCCGTGCCCCTTTCCGCCGGCCAAAGGCTTTGAACCCCTGAAGGAGATGCCTTGTGTGAGCCAATGACAAAAGTGATTCACCGAGTTCACAATCAGCGTGACGTTTTCGTGACCGTCTTTTATCCAATCTACACCGCGATCTTGGACTGACGTTAAGAGCATTGCTGCTCTGGATGGAAGGAGTTTCGACTTGAATTGGATTCCGGGAAACTACCGCTCGACGGCGACTTTTCCTTATCAATTTTCGTCTTTCGAGTTATAGAACTTCATCCGCTGGTTATGATAACCTGGGCTCGCGGAGAGCCTTGTAGCGATTGAGCAGATGTCTGGTTTTTCTTTCTCAATCAACCGGTTATTCATTTGTGCTGTCCCGAATTCGCGAGCAGCTGCCTCCGGAGCTATGTCCGGAGTATTTTGTTACGGATGCCGATGCATCGGCACTCATCAGCAGTTCATGAGCAGGCCTCATAATCCTCGATCTACTCTTCCAAAGTTGGTGGCAGTATATGTGTCGCGAGACGCTGATTCAAACAATTACGCCCTACAGTATCATCTCGAACATTCAGTCACATCCACATGGATGGATGGACCTCTATTCACTGCCGCGCCGACTACGGCCAACCTGAAGAGTCGGCTGCAGAAGTTGCCTATCTCGCTCACTTCAGCGGCCCCCCGTCGCCGACGCGCGACCCCGCTCCCCCACCCGCCCTCTCAAGACTGCAATGCCGTCTGTCGACTTGCCTATCGCGGCGACGATCGGACGGATCCTCCTGTGCAGGTGCAGAATGATGGGGATTGGCGAGCTGCTTGCTAATTATCGTATCTACTACTGTGTAGAAGCGTTGGGTGCGTCTCCATCAAGTGATGGAGCCCATCCTGGTTTCTTTCTTTCCTTAACATTCTTGTGAACTATCGTGACATCAATCCCGTCATGTACGCACGCCAGTTTGCCTTGCTGGCTCTGCTCTGCCCGGCTGCCTTGTCATCATCTGCCGTGGCAGCCCCGCAGGATGGTGATGGTGATGGTGTTTTTGGCGGTGGTCAGCACGTAATCGCCGACCCGGAGCCGGCCGACTTCAGCTGTGACCTCCCCGAGCCCCTGGCTCCGTCCGGCGATGGCCTCCCATCCGCCGACGACTTGTTCGGCTCCCATGATGCTCTCCTGAAGCAGGTGAAGCGACACGCGGCCCTTGTCAAGGTGCCGTCCATTTGCTATGATGATCTGGGCGACTTTGACAAGGATGAGCGCTGGGCGCCCTTCTACACTTTCCATGAGGTCCTTGCCGAGACATTCCCCCTGATGTGAGTTGTTTATGTCTTCATCTCATAGAGTCGACTTTTCAGTCATGTAAACATGTTGAGAGGTGCACAGAAGACAGGGAGTGGTTGTTTTGAGATTCAATTGTTGATACGTTGCCAGCCATTCTCACTTCACGATTGAGAAGGTCAATACCTTCGGACTCGTCTACACCCTCAAAGGGAGTGATAGCTCACTTAAGCCTCTCATGCTCACTGCCCACCAGGATGTGGTGCCGGTTGCTGACCCAACTACATGGACATATCCTCCATTCTCTGCCCATTTTGACGGAACTTGGCTGTGGGGAAGAGGTGCCTCAGACGATAAGAATAGCATGACCGGTCTCCTATCCGCCGTAGAAGGGCTTCTGGCTGAGGGCTTCACACCCAAACGGACTATCCTTCTCGCCTTCGGCTTCGACGAAGAATGCAGTGGCAGAAGGGGCGCAGGCTCCATCGCCCGCCACCTGGAGGCCATCTACGGCAACGACAGCATCGCGATCATCCTGGACGAGGGCGGCATGGGCCTGCAGCTGCTCGACGGCGACGCGCTCTACGCCCTGCCCGCCGTCATGGAGAAGGGCCACGTCGACGTCTGGTTCGAGCTGCACGTCGTCGGCGGGCACAGCTCCGTGCCGTTCCCGCACACGGGCATCGGCATCGTCTCCGAGATCGTCGCCGCGCTCGAGTCCCGCCCGTACGAGCCGCTGCTCACAAAGGGCAGCCCCATCTACAACCACTTCGTGTGCCAGGCGCGCTACAGCCCCGACGCCGAGCCGAAGATCACGAAGCTCCTGAAGGAGGGCGACCTGAAGGCGCTAACGGACGAGCTGGTCAGTATCGATCGTCCTACACATTTCCGGCTGCAGACTAGCCAGTCGGTGGATTATATCAGCGGAGGGCAGAAGATCAATGCCATGCCTGAAGTCATCAAGCTTGGAGTTAATTACCGCGTGGCGCCGCAGAATTCTATCCCTGAGATTCAGCATAACATTGTCAAGTACATCCAGCCCATCGTCGAGAAGTATCGCCTAACAGTGAAGCCGTTCGAAGGAGACAAGGGCTACGAGGACTACAAGTCGGTGTACGAGAGTGCTAGCATTGAGGCTCTGGAGGACGGTGTGAAGCCGTTTTATGAGGTTGATTACAATGGCACTCTGGTTCTCACGTCAAGCCAGCAAACACTCGTTGCGCCCGTGTCCCCGACTTCTGGTGCTGTGTGGGATGTCTTCTCCGGAACGATCCAGCATTCGTTCGCGTTTGAGGGAGGCAAGGTTATCCCAACCGGAGAACTGATGACTGGAAATACTGACACCCGTCATTATCTTGGTAGGTTGACACTATACAAGTCCTTCGTTTTTCGAGTAGCATGACCTTGATAAGACCTTTTGCTCACGACTCTTCAGGTTTGACACGTAATGTTTATCGATGGACGCCAACAAGACAGGGCGGCAGTGATGGTGTGCATACCATTAACGAGCGTATCAACATGACAGTTCACATGGAGGCTGTGAGGTTCTATTACAACTTGGTGAGAAACTTTGACGCTTCTGATGCCTGATTGTAGATAGGGCCAAATACCGCTGCGTAGATAACGATTATGTGATGGTGATAAGAGCATGAGAACTATGTTAAAAGCTAAGATTGGTTTATAACGAATAGAAATCATAACGAGAGTCAATTATAAACTCAGTGTTCTGTACATTCAAAGTGTCTAAGGGAAAAGAATCTTTGCTCATGTAAGTAAATTATGCTTGGCTTCAAAAGGACAACATGTGCACTTTATGCATTCCAGAGAATTTGTCTCCCCAACTGCGGTATGGCTAAGTGACGTAGATGGTGTGCTGCCGCGCTTGTTGATCGTATCGCCAGCAAGGTAATTTCTCCGGGGAAGCCTGGTCCATGAGGATTAGATTCCGCGTCTTGTGATACTTGATGCCATACTCGCTGAGACCATGGTCTGTCCGGTGGACCAACCCGATCCTCTTGAATCGACCCATTACGGCATCTTCCAGTTGCAAAACAATGACTGCCAGTGCCACAGGACCAAACCTGTGTGCCTCAGGCCCATATCGACAGTCTAGCTCCTCGCGGCGAGAGTCGCTATAGGTGTCGATCAAAGGCATGTAATAGTACGTCTGCTCTTCCGTCGCTCTGATATCATCGCTACTGGTCGGCTTTACATCGAAGCTACATTCTGGGTAAATCGAAAGATCAGGGGCTGAGTTTTCATCGGGCTTGAGTGATACATTGCAAACATCCGGGATTATACGCCAGGGGCCTGAACGTCTGTCAAATTTCATAGACTTGAGAACGCCGGTCAAGCGCAGCTCAATTGTAGGTCCCTCGATAGGGCCGAAAATATTATCTTCCACCTCATCATCTGGTGGCCAATGTGCGTCGGCGGCACGGGTCTTGTCTCTTCGCATTCCGCGGTGCCTTATGCAGCACGCTGACACCAAGTACGCGGTCGTGAACATCAAGTCCTTGTTTGGTGTCGCAATTGCCTTAGACACCGAAATCCATGAGAATGATGGAGCCAGATGGCGCTCGGGGCAAGGCTTTTCTCTCTCAGATATCCCGACTAACCAACAGAGGTCGTGGATCAAGGTGGACCGCCACAGTCCAGCAAGATACAGATCCCCAAGAGCTTCCTGGGTGTACCTAGCAATGCCGGCGCTGGCAATGAGCCTATCTTTTGCAAATGAAAGTTCACATTCCGAATAGTTGGCAATAGTGTCATACCACACTAGGTATTGTTTTTCGCGTGAGTTGAGCGGACGCTCTAGTCTAGTAGCCAGCCAGTTCGCCACATTAGTGAAAATGCTAGGCTGGAATTGCTTGATGCCTCTTGTATTGATGGATGTGTTTTGTGTGACTTCTGGGAGGCGTTCTGGGTATATCTCGCACACCGTCTTCTCGCAACACTCCCAGAATATCTGGCTGCGGCAGAAGTGAATCACCCTTGCAGCTAAGAGTCTCTCTTGCAGCACCCAACCACGACGGTTGAGGGGCGCGTCACGGACATCGCGGTTCCATAGACGGTGATCTGTGGAGTAAAATCGCGACACTTTCCCAGTTGCTTTGACATAGAAGTCAAGGCGTGCCTCACGGAAAGACTGGGTTTCTCTCTCGTGGAACAGACCGACGTTTTCGCCAGCCCAGTCGGCAGACAAGTTGCAAAATGCATTCCTATAGTAGCGGTCCATCCGGCCAGCTTGCAGTGTCCAGTCTTGCATATCATCTCCACGCTGGATGATACAAAGGGAATCAATCCAGATATACCTCACTCCTAGGCGTCTCGTGACTTCGAATGCATCGAGATAAGTTCTGCCAAACTTATCCGCAGAAATAGTGTCCTCGAACTGCCTCCTGTTCTGTGTCGTCAGGAGAGGGAGATTGGCGGATCCCCAACGGTGACTCAAAGTGACATATTTACTGCCCGGTACTAACTCTTCACCGTTGATTAATTTGATGGGGTCGGAAGCTTCAAGTCCGATATCCAAAAGCCTACTTGGACATCCGTAAGCACTGTTGCGTCGACTCTGGCACTTCTGATGTAGAGAGGTGCACTCTTCAATACAAGACATGATAAAGGCCCAGGATTCATCAGACTTTGTACTCATTGATACCGGAGGCCGAAGCGGAATGTGCTCTTCAAATTGAACATGTTCTCAGTTTTCGAACTTTGATATGACCTTCCTGTCTCGAGATTGGGTTGATCAGACTCACTTTCTTTTGGGCCAAAGATATAGGAGAAATTGAAATTTCCCATGGGCAACTGTGGTTCCAGCGCCGCCCAACAGGATTGAACTCTGTCCTCGAACAAGCCTTGTTCCTGTAGTCCTTCTTTATATTTTTTGTAAAATATATAGTGAATCGTCAGAAAGTCGTTGTCAGCATTAACTTTTAGATAAAGTCTTGTGAAGAACAATCCGCCATCCCGTTTTACGCTGCTATAGTCGTCATGGACATGACGATTGGCGGATCTTTCAGGTTTCCATAAAGACGCAACCAACTCTCGCATTAGAGCACAATCCTGAGAGCGGAAGGTGTAGAAAGCTTGAGAGCAGAGATAACATCCCGTCTCAGCGGACTGGATGAAAGATGCGATGCTGCTGTGATGGTCTGCGGTGATGCCAATGGATTTGCTAAAACGCTCGACATCGAAATTGATTTGACTGAATGTAGCCCCGCAAATGCTACAAACTCCCAGCATTATGTCCTGAGCTCATTCAAAACTCGGCTTTGTGGCAGTCTTTGAGAATTCTGCGAGGCAGCTTATATTGAGTGTGTTTGAGGTATACGTATAACTTTTAGAGATAACGATGAACGGCTCAAATTCTGGCTGGAGGCACCTGGAATATGTTATGACTTTCGATTTGTGGATACCTAACGCACGAATAACACAGTCTGGAGGTTTGAGGGGTAACTCGTTTCAATAGGTCAAGTAATTCAACACTTGTTAACAAATTATCTTCATACAGGGCATTAGAGCCTGGCTTTTGTATATCAGGAGATTGCGCTAGATCAATACAAACAACTATTTGCTTTCTGCCATTACGGACGGAGGGCGTAACTTTCTACGAATCACTCTAGTTCACAAAATGATGATTCTATTTGCCAACTGACATAATCTGAAACTGATAAATTGTTGTATGGACTGGCTATAAAAACACCAATAACAAGTAAGGAAAGATAATTCGTGCTGAGGTGCTTTCGCTGGTAGGTGGCTTGTTATTTTGTCCGCCGCTTGTCACTGATGAAGATCGTGGTCGCCGCTTTTCGTAAATCATATGACTGCTCACTTTATACAAACATCAAGCTTATTGAACTGTTTGTTCAAAATTTGAGTCATCATGGAGATTATCAATACCCAAAACAATCATAATTTATCATTTCCTCTTCACCCAATAACGTAAACAGATAAAGCCCGCCCTGCCGTGGTATCTGAAAGAAGCGGATAGTCATAACACAATGTGAGGCCGCCCCAATCTGTAGAATTACAGCTGGTAAATCTGTCATAAAACATCGGACAATTCATAAGGGTATCCTTTTTGAGACTCTGTCAAGCAACCAGGGAACTCCGAAACCTTGTGACAGCCCATTTGCCGTCTTCCCGCAACGCTCTTAATGGAGGAAGTTTATTAGCACGGGCACATCCTCATGTTCGAACACCAGATCCGAAGCCGGTCGATATTGACGTCACGAAGCCCTGTGACCAACGCGCGAGAGTCTCAAATTGTCGACTCTCCAGGTGCCGCCATTCAGCGGGTGGTGTGTTACGTCTCAACCTGCCTGAGGCTTTTCGTACACTATGCGTTCTCAGAGGCATTCTGTGCACTGCTCCGATAGCTTTAGTACACAGATATGCAATTATTGATATCAGGTAAGGAATGGTCTCGTGCCTAGACTTACTTGTTCATGATTGCAGTTCGAGCAACGATTGCTGATAACAAAGATGCTGCCACAAAGATGGCAGTGAACCGCGTAGGCGGACATGGCGAGTGGTGCAGGATTGACGCCCCGTTCAGGAGCAATAACGCTCAATGCTGACTGATTGGCCGTTCTTCCCATAGATTCTGCAAGGCGATCGTATTAACTTGGAATTTCGTTTCAATCAAGATCGAGATCGAAGTAGTTTATCTTCATGAGATAGGCAGAAGGAGGGGAAGCACACGATGAGGTGCAAGATGGGCTGACAGCCACTATATACAAACGAGGGGAAAGGTGGGCTATGCATGTAAGTCTTGCGCCCGTCCCCCATCTATTGAGCAGTATGTGGACCAGACTGCAGGATTTCGTGGGAGAGTGAGGCAGAGAGCAAAGAGAGTTTGCTTCCGGTGCTTGCCGCCGCCAGGCAACTAGGCGCCGTGAGCCGACCACTGAGATGAGTCGATGCTCGCCACATGACCCTTTTTCGCCTGTCAGACCGATTGAAAACGAGAAACCTCTTCATTTTCCTGTGACTGATCGGCTGCAACCGCGAGATTTTTCCTGGTGGGAGAACGGGGATCCGGGTCTTTCGCCATTTGGTGCAGTTTGCGGACCTGGTCCCATCCAGCAGAAAATGGCACTGGAGGACCCTTGCAGGCTAGCTGCATCTTCCCCCGCATGCAGCCATCTACTGCATACATATATAGAGGTGTGGGCAGCGCAGAACGATTCTGGGATCCAATGACGGTTGAGGTGTGAGACAAGGGAATTGATAATCGGGGTACACCAGCGTGGGGGCGTAGTGATTTGATGTTCTACCCAGAGCCACGGCTTTAAAGGAAGAAGAGGCTACGGAGTGCTGGGCGGCTCTGATCCCCGTCTTGAGAAGCATTTGCCCGTAAAGCGCATTCAAGCGAGGGAAACAAGATCATGCTTGTTATGATAGAGACAGGGCGTTGCTCGTCAAGGCTGAGCAACACAACTAATGAATGGTGTTTCTTAATTGGGGATAATTACGATGGCCGGGCATGTTCGTCTCTCGCCCGGAGGTTGAAATAGAGAAACAATCTCGACACAGGCAGGCTGCCGGCGACAACGCCTGATGCGGCTCCGTAGGCCGCATAATCGTAGGGCGAGAATGCGGGGTCTGCTTAAACATTGTTATGTGAAATTTGACCGAGAATCGATCGGGCAGTGCAGTTATAAGGCGAATCTTCGGCGAGATTCAGTGATGGTGCATCCGCGAGGCTCTTGGTGTAACAATGAACGAACAACATCTGTCCTGTCCTACATTTCGGCTTTCTCTTCATTGAAACTCTCATTCCGCGTTCAAATTACATTGTACTCTGTCGGTATTACAATGCTAGAGGTGCTTCTTGCCTAGAGACTGTTGCTGGCTGCTCTCACCTTGTGGGTATCTGGGCGAGGCACTGCCGCATGGGAGGCATCCGAGGTGTAGCTTACGGTGAGGCAAAAAATACAGGCAGCACCGACTTTCTTGCCAGACACTGCGAACACGAATGCGCCCGCCTAGTTCACGAGAGCACCATCTTTGGGCGGTGTCTTCAAGTGTGTTACAAGGGAAAGCTTCCTTTAGTCGAGGCATCGCCTCGTGTCTTTTGTCACAGACCCAGAACCCGACAATACGTATCAGGCACGTATTGTCGTACTGTGAGCGAAGGACTATGGACGACATGGACAAAAGTTAAACGATATTTGATCGCTGGTTCGAAAACGGTTGGACCGGCTATGAGGTTGCCTAAGAGGCTGTATACACTCTCTATCTTATTTCGCAAATGATCGTGATATCGACACAGCACTGGAGCCTGGGAGGAAGCTAGACATGAGGAGCCAAACCGTTCTTGACCTTCTTGACTGGTCGGGCCAGGAATACTTGGCGAGATGATCCATCGTCGTTCAATTCTGAAAACGCCATCCTCGAAGTGTCTTCAAGGCACCAGGAAATCGGAACCATCAGGGTGCCTGTTTTCGATAAAGGCCTTTGTACGGTGCACTAAACAGAAGTTGGGATCCTGAAAGATGTCGAATGAGCTCGCGGTCAGCTGAGGATCTCTGTTCGCGGGTTCTTTGTTAGAATTTTCGCTGGCACTCAAACATACATGGCAAACAGATGATGGAGATGACGATGATTAACGGAGTTACGGTACGTCATCCTCGAAATGTTCATTTATTCTTCTCTTCTTCATCCATCGGTTCTCCGAAGACGGCGTGACGCATCGGCAGACAACTAACGTGAGCCAACAGACAGGCACTTGCGGGGTGCATTAGTTCCGTCTACCCACAACTCAGTGATTCACTGATTTACTGCTTGCTGGCTTAAGACATCACTGACTGCTGGAATGGTTGTGGGGACCTTGATCGAAGAAATGACTCGCTAAAGATGTCGGTTTTGGGCCAATTCAGCCGCAGCCATTCTGCCTGACCCACTAACATGTTGTTTTCTTGGGACGCTTTAGCGGGTGAAATGGTGGTTTGATTATCCCAGACGGAGGCTCTTCGTTCAATGTTGTGAGGAGCGCGGACTCTGGAGTGAGCTTGTTCTTCTCCGAATTTCAGAGATACAACAGCCATAAACAATATCAATCTGTGGTTCAGACATTGGCGACCTCATTGAATTACAGTCCTGCCTCCGCGAGAGTGGGTTAAAAGGGAAAGGCATCTCGCGAGGCGCCGAGGTTGCTGGTATTACTCTAGGCCGCCAGCGAGGCGCAGCACACCTCTAGCCGTCCAAAGGTTTGCTCGTGGCTTGAGCCGGCTCCTCAGCTGTCACGCGCGACTCCATCTAACGTCTTTTCTTCCACAATAGTTCAACTTTAATTATGGACTAGACTAGGTCATGATCTTTGGGTTTTCAGTGAAGGAATTGGAGGCAACCGCCCAGTCAATTGGGAACGCTTACACTGGGCTAGAATTGGCGGCCGCTTTCGGCTGACCTGACAATGCACCGTTGCCTGTAATGACTGTAAAGTACTGTGCCACCTGGCCAGATAAGAGAGGATGCCTCGCACCCCAGAGTGTATTAACTTCCTGAGCCTTCATTTAGCTCAGCCATGATAATGGGACAGGGTTCCAATTCACCTAGGCTAATTGACAACTAGTTTTGTCTAGTGAGTAAACTTCATCTCGTATGGGGTAGTCAATGCCAACTCACGGTCTCTGACTCTGTGACTGAAGTTTGTTGTCTCGGGCAGCTTCAAACAGCTATTAAACCCACAGCATCCCCTCTCCGCATCACGATTCTTCAGAAACACAATCCTACTACTTCTCACAATAGTCCGCGATCAGGAGACATACAAACCTCATAATACATCAGTTATAGACTCTGTGCTCTTAGATCTCAACTCGCAGACCTAATGGTATATTCCAGATCCTTGTGCTCAACCTGTGCCGCTCGCTAACATATCTTGACAAGGTTGCTGTTCCAATTGTGGGCGTCCCCGACAAAGTCGAGGATAGCCTGGATGAGAAACGCTATCCCATCAGATCTCGAGAGCAAAACAGCAACTCTTCAACTCCTGCCGTGACTATACATCCTTTACAAACGCAAGATGGAGTCATCATCAAAGTTCAGCCTCCGACTTCACCGGCAAATATGTCAATGTCTCACGTACCTTGTGACATTGTGTTGGTGATCGACGTTTCTGGAAGTATGGGAGCTGATGCACCGGTGCCTACTAATCCTGGTGAGAGAAGCGAACGTTTTGGCCTGTCGGTGCTGGATCTGGTCAAGCATGCTGCTCTCACCATTCTCGAGACTCTGGATGACCGTGATCGCCTCGGGATCGTCACTTTCGCGACCAAGTCAAAAGTGATCCAGCCACTTACCTTCATGAACAAGAAGAATAAGAAGAAGGCCAAGTCGAATATCGAGAGCATGTATCCGCTGGACATGACCAACCTTTGGCACGGCATTCGCGACAGTCTCGGCCTCTTCGATGGTGACTTTGACACTGGTCGAGTTCCAGCTGTCATGGTTCTTACAGATGGTCTCCCAAATCATATGTATTGCTCTCTTCGGAAGTGCTAAAAATTGCATAGATCGCTGATAAACTACTAGGTGCCCACCGCAAGGTTATGTTCCAAAGCTACGCAAGACACACATTCCAGCTACCATTCACACTTTCGGCTTTGGCTATAGCCTCCGGTCCGGCTTATTGAAGTCCATCGCTGAAACTGGCGGTGGCAACTATGCCTTCATTCCTGATGCTGGCATGATCGGTACCGTTTTCGTTCACGCTGTTGCGAATTTGCAGTCCACTTATGCAAACAACGCGAGCTTACGGCTTAACTATCCGGGGCATGTCAATTTGTATCAGACTACCGGCCCATCAGCCGACACGCAAGAGCCCATCCAAGTGGGCGGAAGCAATCAGCTCACAATTCCACTGGGAAACATCCAATACGGACAATCTCGAGACATCTATTTGCGATATGACAACAACCCGACGAACCGCGATGATTTCCTGGCGCCGCCAATCCTTAGTGCTGTACTTGAGTTCAACTTGATGACCTCGCAAGTTCACAAACTGGTGGCACATCGTAGCCTCAGCAATTTCACGACCATGACTGAGGCCGAGATCGCCTATCACGTTTCTCGAAGCAAAATTTGCGGTTTCTTGTCTTCTCTGTATCCCCTGCGATCTGACTTCGAACACAATGCAGTTGACTGGCACTTTTCTCTCGGCTCAACCAAACTCCGCGGCTTAGTTGCTACGCTCCCTGCCGCCAACTACGCCGACACGAAGAATGTCTCTCTCATGGAAGATCTCTCAGCTCCGGAACCCAAGGGACAGGTCCTTCTGGCTCTTTCAAGACAGGATTACTGGAAGAAATGGGGTGCTCACTATCTTCTTTCTCTCCTGAATGCTCATGCCAAGCAGATCTGCAACTCGTTCAAGGATCCTGGCCCGTTGCAATATGGTGTCGACAGCCCACTGTTTATTCAATGCCGCGACAGATTGGACGAGGCCTTTGACAACCTTCCGGCGCCGAAACCCAGCAACTACACCGAGTACAGGGGCCCCATCTATATGAGCAGCTATAATAGCTCTAGCAATCCTTGCTTTGCCGGATGCTCGACGGTGACATTAGCCAACGGAAAGGACATTGCGGTCTCGACAATGCGAAAAGGAATGAGAGTTGCTACACCTCTGGGTCCTAGGAGGGTGGTGGCTATTCTAAAGACGCCAGTCAGGAGAGAGATCATGTGCAAAGTCGGCGGATTGCTCGTCACTCCTTGGCACCCCGTGTCTCTAGATGGGAAGTCCTGGGCCTTCCCTAGTGACATCGCGGATGGTGCCGTGCGATATTCAGGTGCAATCTACTCCATCCTATTGCAGAAGGATCGCCAAGTCGATGCCCACGCTGTGAAGGCCGGTGGTCTCTGGGGCGTCACGCTCGGCCACGGACTTTTGGCCGGCGATGATGTGAGGGCTCACCACTACTTGGGGAACTACAGCGCAGTCGTGCGGAGCCTCAAGGGTTTGAGACTCGATCACAATGGTGTTGCACTGGGTGGAGGTGTAAAGCGGAGCAAGTCAAATGGCCTGGTCTGCGGTTTCAAGAAGCCCATGGTTAGACGGAGAGAAGTTATACCTTCAGCACTGGTTCAGACCAAGGTCGTGTATGCATAAGATGGGATCTGTTTTCAGGATTGTTTCTCAATAAAGTATTGGCCTATGGATCTTTGATTTGGGACATCGCTCATTCGGCAGGTTGAAATTGAAAGTTCAGAAATGAAACCTTCGGTTGGTTTTGTGTACCAAAGGAAAACGTAAATTAGATATACATTTGGACTAAGATGTCAAATGACTCAATAACAATGACAACGTCGATTCTTCCTCCAATACGAATGCTCTTGAAAGACTTGTTGTCATCTTGTATATGGGTGCATGTAATTGTGAGCGCGGTTCATTCGTTAAATGACGAGATATCTTTTCTTGCCAGGTAGGACTCCCGGGCTCTTCATTCTCGCAAGATCACTGGCAAAGGAGATTCAACGGCTGAGATTGGCCCGATGGAAGGCAATTGGTAGGTAACATCAGTAGAGTAGGCAGTCAAAATGAGTAGACTTAGGTCCATGGTCTTTGCGTAGCGAGAAGACGTATGGGAAAGCATCTAACAAGAAGCCCGAAATTCAGCCTCCGAGCAAAATACGCTCTTTCAAGGGCACGAAGGGACTTGCTCGACAGCCACCTTGAGCCCAAATGCAGTCTTTAGGCTTAAATAGGGGCTGAGAGCTCAGCTCCTATTTTTGTATGTTGGGAAGATCCTGTGTGTCAGAGCTTGACCGTTCATTGGCCGTCCTCTCACCCCTGAAAGCCTACGGGAGACCATATTCAAGCCACTTTTGTCCTCACCACGTACCGTGGCACACACAAAATCCAACAATGCCTATGAGCTTGGACCATCGTACTTGCTTATTGCATTTGACTCACTCTGGAGTCTGTATTCCTGGTATTACGCGGTTACAGTGCATATGCCCTAGATAAACGTGCTCTTAAAGACGCAGTCTGCTAGAAACCACCTAGACCAACATAAGACACCGTAATATTGTCGTACGCACCTTCAAAGTCTGTGAATATGTAATGGGGGAAATTCCGGAGGTATTCTTGCCTATGATCGGCTCCGGCGAGCACTCGGCGTAAGCCTCCTGAGACGGCAAAGACTTTCGCCGGGCTTACGGTCTAGAACTGTGGGGTAAAATCTGCCACAACGTAGGTGCTTCAGCTCCATTCATAGTTGACCAATCCGGGTTCTCCTTTTTGCTTTTGTATAACTGTCGACCCATGATCCTAGAAGTCGTGCGCTCATCAAGCGCTACAGACACTCATTCGACGCCAGCGAGGCAGATTCGGGCATGTTGCATGCATATGAGCATTCACTCGGCGTCGACCTGTAGGATCAAGCTAATGAAGGAGGCGGTCCGCGGTACGCGGCAGCTGGATAGGGGTTTCGTAAACCACTAATATGTCTTACCCATAACGAACTTGACTTTCCCCATGCTCTCGTGAGAGCCTGTGTGACGTGTAGCCGCAAGCAAGCGGGTACTTCCTTGCTTCCTTATTATTCAGATCGGCACGGCTGGCCTGCAGGCACTACATGCACCGCCCTGAACATTCGAGCATGGGAGAACGTGGCTCCATGAGCAACTTGCACTTTTGACAACCTTACTGTGGCAGCAGGGTAGCATCCGGGTATCCCTGTCAAGTATCCATCTACCTCGACATTCACAGCAGACGCACCACTTCTTCCTGTCTTTCCTACCTAAGTTACATGCGGGACTTACCGATCTTGTCACAACACTTTACCGTATGATGGCATATGGGCTTGCGGCTCCTACATGCTTTAATTTCCACATTTGCTTGATTTAGAGCCTCATTGGGCGTTGGCCATTGCCTTTACTCCAGATCATGTGGCCCCCAGAAAGCACTGCCGTAAGACACTTGGCAGTGACAGTAAGCGTGTACAGCAGAGGCGTTTACTTTAGTGTACTATAAGTCCTCAACATCCCCATCCTCTTTTAGTCCTTAGAGACTTACATGTGTTCTGTTGTGGCCACTCTCAGTGGATTTCATTCGTTCTTCGCCCTGTCGTATATCTGATACACAGATAGATCATGGCTTCATTCAGGATTGTAGCTGGCCTTGGGGCTCTTGCTGTCGTAAGAGCATTGGATATCGCTCGTTTCAGCCTTAATACTCGCGGCGATGGTTTCGTCACCGTTCCCGTGGTACCTCTAATTCCTAGTGGACTCCAGCGAAGAGCAATTCCCACCGATGACCTCACCAATGAGAAGATATTCTATGCTATTGATGGTAAGATGAGCTTGATCTGTTGTCTGAATAAAAGGCCAGAGTCTTACTTACCCCTAACCAGTTGAACTGGGCACACCTCCTCAGCTTACGACTGTACTGCTCGACACTGGGTCGGCCGAACTCTGGGTCGACCCTGACTGCTCTGGAATTGATCCCACATCTACCTCGGATATCGCCGAATGCACAGCTATTCCCAAATACATTCCGGCAGACTCATCAACGGCTGAAGATCTTGGCGTCTCTGAGACTCTTAATTATGGAGACGCTTCTGATCCTTCATCACAAACATCTGTCACGATCGAATACTTCACTGACACTTTGACCATTGGAGGTATGTTATATGAAATCATCACTATATGAGCCATGAAGTAACAATTTTAGGTGCTGGTATCACGTCACAGATCTTCGGAGTTGCCACAGCAAGTCAGAACATTGCCCAAGGCATTCTTGGTGTTGGGCCTGATGTCACCTACGGCTTTTCCACAACAGATCCCTACAGCCTTGTGCTCGATACTATGGCTGCAGAGGGTGTCATTAATAGTAGAGCTCTTTCCCTTGATCTTAGGGGCCAGAACGATCCGGATGGTACAATCATTTTTGGTGGTCTTGACAAGGGCAAGTTTGAAGGAACATTGAAGAAGCTTCCTATCATTCCTGCAGATGAAAGCCCGGATGGTGCATGGCGGTCAGTAGCTCACTCCACAGGATGGTTAGAAGTACCCAACTGATAATATCAGCTATTATGTCTCGTTGACGTCCCTTGGCTCGTCCGTCACTGCAGCCTACAGTGTCCCTGCTGGAGGGCTTGCGGTCTTCCTTGATAGTGGAAACACTTACAGCCGTCTCCCGCAAGATCTTGCCCAGGCCATCTACACGGACCTGAACGGAGTCTATGACTCGGCATCCGGTCTATATCAAGTTGACTGTGCGCTCCGCAGTTCTGATGGCACTATCAGCTTCGGATTTGGCGACAAGGTCATCGACGTCACCTTCTCAGACTTCATACAGGATTACACCTTCTCTGATGGGTCACACTACTGTGCTGCTGGTGTGATTGCCACGAGTTCCGCTCCTGTGCTTGGAGGTATGAGATGGCGCAACTGAATATCGGGAGAACACGGATACTGACATTATTCATGTAGACTCCTTCCTTCGTGCTGCTTATGCCGTGTTCGACTGGGACAACCAAAACATACACTTGGCGCAAGCAGCGGACTGCGGTTCTGATGTGGTGGCTATCACGACAGGCCCGGACGCCATTCCAAGCGTCACAGGTTGTGGCTCTTCTCCGTCTGGCACTTCGAGCGCGAGTTTCACCCCTTCCGGGACACCGTCAAACACGGCTACCGAGTCAGCGACACCTACACCAACACCAACGGAGAGCTCTACAGTGACTGTCTCTCCGTCTGAGTCTGCTTCGTCGTCTGCACCAGAAGGTCCCACCACGTCTGCTCCGACATATACTTCTACTTTCTATCTTACCAGCACATACACGATCACTTCATGCCCAGTCACCATTACCGACTGCCCTGTCGGGCATGAGACGACTGAGACTACCACTTCGTATACCACTTGGTGTCCTGGCGAGGAGACATTCACTTCGAGCATAATCTCTGTGCCGACTACGACTGGGGCCCCAGACGAGATCTGCCCTGGTGTTTGCAACGGAACCGAGACAATCGTGACAACTCCTATTTGGAGCGCACAGCCAACCTTGACGCCCACTCCGTCGGCGATTGTCACTGCTGGGGCGCAGGGCAGAGTTGTCAGCATGATCACACTAGCAGCAGCTATTTTCGCTTCCGTGGGGATTTATTTGTGAGCGTGGTTTTAATCAAAGCAAGACAATTGGGTCTATAGTTCTCTTCTTTCCTGGCGAATAAGTCGGCGAGACAGTACTCCCGTGCTTCTTCGTGAGGAGATCATATAATTTCGTATGATAAATACATACCTGATAATTACTCCCTTCCTTTCCATCTATTTATTCCAAATCCTAAAATAAAGAGATTTCTAGACAATCATCTTGCTTTATTTCTTTCCTGGATCTACCTTTTTCTTGACACTAGAGGCACGTTCAAAATATCAAGAGAGCCAAAGTGACGCAATCATAACAATTTCTTTTCTCCGTCAAAGTTTTCTTCGACCCGATTCATCGTTCTTGTTCTCTGGAAACTGTCAAGAGGAGAGAATGAAAGGTACAAGCGGTATTTGAGCAATTGCATTTCGTACCTTCCGTTCTGATCAAATACCGTTCACAATCTCCGTTCTTCTCAAAATCTTGAGCATCGGTGGCTCAAATTTTATCCATCTGCTCTTTCCTCTTAGAAAGCTGCCATCCTGCCGCTTTTTAAAAACTGATCGAAAGCACCTCTCTCACCTTACCTGAATGAAGATTTATACATTGTTTCTCTCATACAAGACTATCACCCCATAGTCCAGAACACCGTAACAAGGAAGGGTCACTCGGGTCTGATTTTTAATATCCCCATTCGACTTCAAGATCATTTTCTTCAGCCCTTCCACTTTCCTGCTAATATCACATCACGCCTTCTCTCTCAGACATAACCCACAATTTTGTGACCTTGTCACATTTACTTTCTCATTCCTACACCGAAGCTCTTCTTCGGCCGACCTCTCTCACAATTATTTTGCGGTTCATAATCATCATCTTCGAACTTTTTCTATTTTGCAATATCGCACCTAAACATCCTAATCCTTTGCGGCTCATTATCACGCCTCATGTTTAACTGAGCACCTGCATCACATACGCAATGGCCTCGCAGACCCAGCTCGGTGCAGGCAATGCACAAAAGCAATTAAAGGGTTTCAAGCATCGAGATCCTCGATTCCGTTGGCAGCATCAGATCAATGACAGCAGTCAGAAGCTTCTACTCGAGGTGAAAGAAGCCGCAGTCAATGTCGCGATCGAGCATGGCAGCAGAATTGCCAGACATATACAGACACTAATTCAAGCATCGACCTCTTCCAATACTCCAACAACAGATGTGGCTATTGATGAGCTGCAAGATTGGATAAATCGATACAGTAAGATATTCCTTCATTTGCACAATGCAAGCATTTCACTGACATATAAACTCAGATGCGGCTTGTTCAAACCACAAGAACTCCCAGATTTATGTTGGCGTCGCGGGCAGTACCGGTGCTGGGAAGACATCGATACTCAACGCACTTCTCGACATACAGGATATCTTGCCTGCAAGCAACGAGGAAGCATCAATATCTGCCGTTTGCTTTGTTGCCTGGAATGATGATGACACAGCCGGCCATGATTTCAGAGCTGAGGTTACTTTCAAAGATCGCGATTCTTTTGCGAAAGAACTTGATCTTTTCTTTCTCGAGTTGAAGGATGCCGGTGATGGGGAAGATGACAACGGTAAGAACGACAGTGATGCTTCCAATGAAGACGAACAAGATGAGGAGCAAGTTGCAGCCGACTCAGCCACCGCACGAGGTCTAAGTCAGGTGCCTGCAGAATCTATTGAATGGCTTGAGAAGATCGAGGACTTATGCGGACTGACTGAAGATGAGATTCTCAATGAATCCACTGAGAGTTTGTTGGATCGCAATCCGGAGTTCTTGAAGCTGCTTGGGACGACTAAGGTGATCCACGACTCGGATGCCAAGGCATTTGCCACGAATGTCAGACCTTACCTAGATGCATCAAGTGCTGAGCATTTTGAGGGTGGTCGCGAATTCGCTGCCTCCCCACTCATCAAGGAGGTTCGGATCTACATGAAAGCAGACATTCTCCGTAACGGTATCATCCTCGTTGATCTTCCTGGACTTTCTGATGCTTCCGAGAGCCGCCAGGCGATAGCTCAGAAATACTTTTCACAGCTCACACTCACTGTTATTGTTGCGCCAATTCGTCGAGGCGCGGATGAACAAACAGGTTGTGATCTGATGTCCGAAAACCAGGAGCTGTCCATGCAAATGGATGGAAAATTCCACAAGAAAGGTTTCTGTGTCGTTTTGTCGATGATGGATGCTATCGAGGTCAACGGCTACTTGGCGCAGCACAAACGGGAGGCTAAGAACGATGAGGAACTCCAAGAAAAGCTGGACATGCTCGCAAAGTTCACTGATAACTTGAAGAATTTGAATGAGCAACGCAAGAAGGAGCATCAGAAGTACCGATCGTTGAAAGCTGCGTGCAATCGGGCCAACTTGAACGTGGCCAAAGCAAGCAAATCAGGTATGTCCATTCTTCGCATTATATTCGAAATTAATTGAGGTCGTAGGACGCGGCAAGAAAGAAGAGCCAACCAAATCGAAGATGACGGCAGAGAAAGCCTTGCAGGACTTCGAGGATCAAGAAAAAGTCCTCAAGAAGCTCAAATTTCTATTGAGGCGTCAACCAGTCCGGATCCGGGCTCTACAAAACTACATGCACTTCTGGTGCATCAGAGCCAGAAATCGACTTCTTCACAATCGTATCCAGAGAGATTTTGCACGTCGTCAGAAGGCCATTATGTCGGCTAAACGAAAAGATCTATATGACGGCACAGTGAACATCTTCCCTGTGAGTGCTTCGAGCTACTGGGCTATCCCGTATGCCAAGAAGCATGGTCAAGACGCCCCGCTTGGCTTCCCCGAAGTCACATATACAGGAATCCCTGCCCTGAAGGCGTGGCTACAAGAAGCAACCATGGAGGAACGGAGCAAGCATCTCGGTACAACGCTCAACACCTTCCTTGGTCTGTTCAATGGTATGAAGACTTGGTCTAGTGATGAATGGATCAACCTTCAAGCTCACCTGGACCCGGCCTTCATCAAGCGTGAATTGTTAGATAAACCTCTAAAGGAACTCGAATCAGTATGCATTTGCACTTGATCCACTGTGATGATAATTACCTAACGTGTGCTTCTAGAAAATCGACCCGATATGGAGGGATTTGGACAATAAGATCAACAAGATCGACCCAACCGCTGTCAAGAACAAGAAAGCAACGCTCAACAAATGCTGGAATAATTGCGTAGCACAGGTCAAGAGATGGAATACAAAAGATCCGAGGAAGTTGAGGTGCAAAGAGAAGATTCACTTTCATTCGTATGGTGCAAGTCTCAATCGACATGGTGGCTCCTTCGTCAGCAAAGGAAAGGGCAACGTCCCATACCACTGGAATATTGATTTGTAAGCTGTTATCTTCCTGTCACAAATTCCCTGCATTCTAATATCTACCAGGGCGAGCATTTTCCTCAAGATAATCGTTGAGAATTGGAATGCGGCCTTCAACGAAAAAATCCCAGACCTTGAGGGGCCAGCGCTGACAGCCATTGATAAAGTATGGTTGGCCTTTCTCGAAACACTTCGCAACAGAGCTCAGTTCAGCGTCAAAGATATCATCCCCCTTCTCGATGGACAGAAGGATATTATGACGGACATCAAGGACGAGATTCAAGACAAGCTTGAGGAAGTGTTCAGGGGTATTAGTCGCAGCGCCTCGAACTCTCATCCAGACATTCCACTCTATATGCAATCGCGCTTCAAGCCAGCGTACTTGGAAGCGCTGGAACATACGAGTGAGTCACATTCATTCAACCATATTCTGTTATTGTGTTTATCAGTTTACTAAGTTGCACACTTACAGAGAAGGGCCAGTTGAAGGCCAGACAGGCCATTATCGAGGCGCATGCGAAAGAGAAGAGTAGATCGATGTACGCCGACGCCTTCACAGAACTTGAGTCAAAGGTTGAAGATCACATGGGGGAGCTTCCCGACAAGTTCCGCGACATTACAGCCTTTGCAAAGAGGCGCATTGAGAAGCACATCACGTTGCTGCTCAGCACTGTGGGAACCAACAACAAATCCTTACACCAGGCGGACGACGACACGAAGAATTTCAAGGAGCAGTCACGCAGAGCCGTGCGCGGAATCATCGCGGAGTGGGATGTTCTTTGGCGGATTGGCGCATTCGACGAGTCGTTCCTGCAGAGCGGCTCCACGAACATCCCGGAGCAAGTCACTGATGGAAGCATTCTCGAGGACGCTGCTGGCAAAGACAAGGATGGTGCTGAGAAAGACAAGGACGGTGACAGCGATGTGGATATGGATCTTGATGGCGATGATGAGGATGATGACTTGGAGTAGGTGAACGTGCAAATTAGAAAGGATAGCAGCTACAAAGGGGTAGGAGAATACGGTAGGTGACATTTGCTTCTATGATTTTATCTTTTTTGGCTTTGGAGGGTTTAATATCTAGCCCTCTATAGTTGCTGGTCAAGTTCGACGACAAGACATATCGAGTGACGCAGTCTGCAGGCGGTAGACAGAGAGACAGACAGACCGAGAATGCAGAACTCACGAGCTAGCTGTTACTTAAATGACAACTCCATTTTTGGGACAAATTTACACCTCGCTCACTCTAGTGAACATTGCAGCCATCTCCATGCCTGATATCCGACACCAGAGCTGGGATATTCCCTTGATGCAAACGGCGTCTCATGATGACGGCTACGAGTTACCTTTGGCACGGTTACATATGTCTCTTTTTATGGGCTATTCCCGGACGAATAATCCAGCCATACCCATGCCCGTGCCCACACACATGGACACAACACCGACCTCTCCACCATCTCGCTTCAATCCATGCATCAAAGTGCTCGTCATCCTCGCACCAGTTGCGCCAAGCGGGTGGCCAAGGGCGATGGCGCCTCCATCGGGGTTGACCTTACCGTCCTCCCAATCCTTCTCTAGGCCCAGCTCCCGCAAGCAGTAGATCGCCTGGCTGGCAAACGCTTCGTTGATCTCCCACCGCTGCACGTCCTTGTTACTCAAGCCAAGCTGGCCCAGCAGTTTCGGGATGGCCAGGGCGGGGCCAATGCCCATCTCGTCAGGGGCACAGCCGACTGTCGTGGCGGCAACAAACTTGCCCATGATGCTACCTGTGAGGCCCAGCTCAGTGGCCGTGCTTCTCCTCATGAGTAATGTCGCCGCAGCACCGTCGCTGACCTGTGACGAGTTGCCCGCTGTGCTGGCGCCTCCCTCCTTGAACGCCGGCTTCAACTTGGCCAGGCCCTCGATGCTGGCATTGGCTCGGATGCCGTCGTCCGCGGTGACTGTGATGGTCTGCTCGTCGCCCACCTTGTTCCCCTGCTTGTCTACCTCCTGAAACCTGGTCGTCACCGGGACGATTTCCTGGGCAAAGCGCCCCTCTTCCCTCGCCCTCGCGGCATTGAGGTGGCTCTTGACGGCAAAAGCGTCCTGGTCCGCCCGGCTGACGCCGTAGCGCTCGGCGACGTTCTCCGAGGTCAGGCCCATGGGCATGATGCAGTCGCGGGCGTCCTTGTTCTCGCTCTCCTTGAGGGCGGGCCACAGGTCGACGGGGATGGCGCGGCTGCCGTAGTTGCGGGTCATGCTCTCCATGCCGGCGCCGATGCCGACGGCGATGACGTCGGTGCGGATCTGGGCGGCGACGGCGGCGATGCTCTGCAGGCTGCTGGAGCAGGCGCGATTGACGGTGTAGAGAGACGTGGTGGAGGGGAAGCCGACGTGGTTCATGGCCATGCGGGCGGCCTTGCTGCCGCCGAGTTCGGAGAGGACGACGCCGACGGCGACATCCTCGATGCGCGCCGGGTCGAGGGCCGGGTTCGCGTCGAGGGTCGCGCGCAGGACGACCGAGAGCAGCTCCTCCGGGTAGGCGTCCTTGAGCTGGCCGCGGTGGGAGCGGCAGACGGGCGTGCGGAGCGAGGAGAGGATGACGACGTCTGTGGGCGCTTTGGCAAGCACGGCGGCGATGCCCTTGGGGATGGCAGCCATCTCGAAGTTGAATACACACACAACAGACCCTTCAGCAAGCTCGTAAGCTCTTGATGTCTTGTAATATATCGGATGAGTTCGGCTTTCGGGAAGCTGCCCAGGCTGTTGCTGGCTATACCGAAGAGCTATAAGCTTGGAGGAGATTCCCACACGCACAAGCAAGTCAATTGACCAGAGTCAATACACTGGACAGGAGAAAAGAGAGAGATGTCAAAGTCAGTCAAGACGACAAAATAATTAATTGGTTACATTATGGAAGGAGGCAAACGTCACTGACTAACAGGCATGGGTAGCCGGTAGGTAGGTAGCTGTTTGGTGTCTGCGTCTCCATTCTCGGCCACTCTCCGAATGAGGGTAACCGGCATGGGAACCGGAGCTGGTGGAAAAACGCAGACCCGCACCTTATCCCCCCTGACAAGCTCCCCCACAAGCCGACTTTGCCCTGAACTGCCCCGCATTAGATCCCTCAAAGCACTGTTTTCCTTACCGTGATGGTATCGTATCCGGGGCAGACCCTACCCGAACCCGAATCTCGCGCCGAACACTTGACTTTGAATTGACCTCCGTCGAAATCTCTCCCGTGATCGGAACCTGCGCACCGGCACAATCTCACCAGAAAGTCGGCCATTCTCGGATCTTTTGTCATTCTGAAGTAGGATGGGCAAGGTATCGGGTCAAGTTATTAAGTATCCAGGTCGGGGAAGGGCACGGCTGGCTTCCGCGGAATGACACCGAGACTGGCACGAACTATAGTAAAGGTCCCAAGGACGAGAAGAGACTGGATGAAACTGGACGGCACTGATATACTTATATTTATATTGTTGGTTAAGGCCCGATCCTCCTATTGAAAACTCACCCGCCTCAATGCCCGTCTCTTTCTAGATGGGGAAAGGTGCCGGCTTGTGGACCTACCATATAATACAACAAATGCATGCATTCCCAAAAGGTTTGTATGGCTTCCTTTCGAGCCTCTTCATCGTGAAGCGATTCCATTACTGTACAAGATGGTATACCATTTATGATCGTAGCATATGTACGGCAAATTGCATTAGAACAAAAGCAACCTCCCTGCCAAAATAGCCCAGGAGCGTCGGGCAGATGAAGTAAAGACACGGTCCTTCAGGTATCATCAGGCTCTCCATGTCCAAGGCTGAGAACAAGGCAGCAAATAGAGCATCCGGTCCTACTCTTGAGTAGCAGTGTGCACTCAGGCCTCCTGACTATACTGGATCCCTAGACCAACACGTGAACCGCCTTCCCGTAGACCACCAGCCATCCGGAGCTTTTTCGTTGGGCTCGTCAGCATCTCCCGCCGACTGTCCTCACCCAGGTCGGCTCCACTGCCGCTGCTGAACTTGCGCTTCTCCTGGTTCATCCCGCCCTTATTCAACCCTGCAAATAACCGAGCTTGGAGCTTGGCACTTTTCTCCGCTGCCGCAGGGACCGGAGTGCCATCCCGTGAACCCACCGAACTGGCCACCTCGAAGCTCTCGCGCGGGTCACGTCGTAGCATTTCAGATGCAGCTTGGCTGGCTTGGCTCTCGAAAACCTCCTCCTCCTCTTCTTCGTCCTCCTCCTCATTGGTCCGACGGGGTTGGTGGCGGGAACTGCGAGACGCCTGAGAACCTTTTGATGTCAAGGATGCAGCAACATCCAATGCTTGACGGGCGAGCTCCTCGTTGTCGTCCGCAGAGATGGTGCTTTCTCTGCTCTTGCGGCCACGCTCTCGGGTCTTCGTCGGGGTTTCTGGGATGAAGCCACGGTTATAGCGACGTGGGGGCTCAGTCTGGGGGACCAGGTCGACTGATGGCAACAGGCCAGCATGGCCACCACGAGAGCGGGCAGTAGGTGTGGTAGGGAGAGATGACAGAGACTGAACACCGCGGGTGTGCTTGGGCGGGAGGCGCGCGGCGGGGCGATGGCCGGATGTGGGCGTTGAAGGAGCACTGTTATTTTCCTGGCTGAGTACTTGTAGGAGCGCAGCAAGAGACTCCTGGTTATGGTCACGCTCGGGGCGAGAGTCACGCTGAGCCGATCTGGGTGTCTGACGCGGCGTGGCTCGATACTGGACGGGTGTCGAGACCGACTGTGTTTTCGGAGTCAGCGCTCCGTGGAACATGCCGCCAGGACTGCAGAGCTGATGGAAGTGCTCGCGATTCTCGCGAATACGGGTCAAGAGCAGGTCACGCTCCTCGGTTAGTCCAAATGTTTCCTCCTCTTTCTGTTGGATAACTTTCTTGGCCGCCTTGAGTCTCCTTGAAAGGGCATCGTTCTCCTCGAGGGCGCTATCGTACCAGACCTTGAGTTGGAGATATTTGGCGTGTGCAGATTCGGAGACGGCGCTGAGCTCTCTGCGTGCCTGCCGTGAGTGTTCAGCCATTCTAAGTGCTTCAACTTCGCGACGAGTCATCTCGTGCTCGACAGCTGCACGCTTTGCATCCTCATCCGCCTGGAGGGCGAGAAGATTGAACTGTAGCTTGTGATGGGCGGTCTCCATCTTCAATTTGGCATGCTCGGCAATGCATGCCTGCAGCATGCTTCTCAGCTCGTCTGGTGATGCTTCTACCACCTGAGCGGGAGTGGGCGGGACGTATTCTCCAGAGGGAGCAGCAGCATCGCGCGGGCGAACGGTATTGAGACCGGTGACAGGAGGAGAGAGTATGGCTGATCGCTGTGCCACGTAGCCGAGCGCACCAGTTGCGGCACCGCCGCCGTTTGACGGAACCTGGGAAGATGGCGGCGGGGTCAATGAGGAAGGTATGATGGAAGAGGACGGTATGCGATCATCGTTCACTTCTGTTTTGAAAGATTGGCCGAGCTCGATGGGCGAGGCAGGACCCTCAGTGGAGGGCAAGGTCTGTTGTGAAGACGGCAGGACAACATCAAGATCTACATCTTGCGGGGTCGAAGGCGCGTCGAGTGGATGGAGTCTGTTCTCGCCAGCACCGCCGTCGGGCCTTGAGGCAACATCCGTGTCAGAAGCCATGGCCTCGAGAGAGCTCAACGAGATCGCGAATATTTGGGGAGAAAGTTTGAAGCGCCGTCGTGATATTCTTAGGCCAGCAACGGTCCAGTCGGTCAGTAGGTAGTGTGCGATGCCTGAGCGACGCACAGACAGTTGGGAAGGCACCTGATGGGTAGGCGCGCAATTCAAGCGGAAAGAAACGCAGATAGGCCGGCTTCGAGGTGAGACTGCGCTCAGTGGGAAGGGAGGATATTGAAAGGGTGTGAGAGAAGTGAGAGAGAGACGAGAGGTGGGAGGTGAAGGAGTTCACGATGGTTAGGATAAGGTAAAGCTCACGGCGGAGGAGGTTAGTAGGTGTATCGCTCGTTTATGGTTTAGTCGACATCTCCACCAAGTGAGGCAGGGGCTGTTTAGCTTGTTTGCTGGTTGCCGTGTGACGGGCAATCTAGACCAAGAACGTCTCCCACTAACATCCTCAGTCAGCAAATGTGAGGGCTGGTGTTATCGTGGGAAGCTAAGGAAGGAAATAAGAAGGGCTGGGAAGATTGGGAAGGAAGGGGGCTGGAGTGAAACACGCTAATCCACTTTTGTCATGTTCTTGCCATTTTACACCACCTTTCAATCACCCCCTGCTTGGAGCCTCTACCGAGATAGTACACGTATATTCACTAATCATCATGAAATGGTATAACAGCATCTGAAATGCCTTGTTCCCAAGCATGATACTCATTTCATTGTACAGCTTTTAGAGCGTCCTATAATGTTGCCTAGAACTGTGTGTTGTGACATCTTTTGTAGCTCGGGAAAATCATGCCAGGGTATTTATAACGTCAATAAAAGCCAGTTGTCTTCAGATGTACTCCATTACTCTGTGGTCAATGATAGATATCCAGGCAAGAATTTGTGCAAGCTATAGCTCCTTAACAGACAGTCTCGAATTAGACAAGCTGTTTAGATGGACATAGGCATTGTCGCCCCGTTCAACTGTCTTTTGTCACTTTGGCTAGTGTCCTTTCTAGTTGTCATATGAGTGCCATCAAGGCACCATCATCGCTCTTCGGTAGTATTTCCGTGAAACTTTTCCAATTTAACCCCAAAAAGACCACGGTGTTTCTTCGTATCTATATACTCGACTGGGAGCATTCGAGACGCGGCTATGATGGAACAGGGACTGATGAGATTGGAATAGTATGCACACATTGATATCAGGGGTCAATAATTAGATGGGCATTTGGTTAGTTTCCGACATGGCCTAATTTTGTCTGACAGATCCCATCCACCGACGTAAAGCAACGATCGAGAGTGTTCTCCTCGCTGATGGGTAGGATGCGGGCAGCCTCACCGCGGGCTTGTTGGGGGCCCGCCAGGATTCCTAAGTTAACGGTTTTCCACCTAACACAACTCGAGGCCTTATCGACAGCGGGAGAATATCTCGTCTGTTCTACAAGGCAAATGGGCTGTGAGACTTGTACCTTGCTTTGTGGAAGGCAAACGGGAAAGGTACCCGATATATATGTATGACCCGCCAAATGACCTCTTGCAACACTGTAGAAGACACGCAGAATCGTAGGAAATCGTCAAATGTTGGTGATATAAGAGATGTGAATGTGCAAGCCAATCGATCTCCATATAAACCGAAAACTCCATATGATTGTGTGCTTACAGAGGAGATAGCACAGCCAAGATGACGTCAGTCCTTTACGCGCGTCAAATACGAAGGGTTTGGGACGATCCGGCTCGGCAGCTCCACAGAATCTCAAACCAAGAACATCTTCCATCACAGCCGACTTGCCAAACGGTCCGTTCTGTAACATGAGAGGTCTTGTAGTGCCAGACACAGCCCACCAGTCCGGCCCGCCCGGAGGCCCACGTCCTGCGCGGCTGTGCCTGCCGTCGTGTTTGAGGTCTGAACAAACATACCGGTACAACCCTAATGTCAGGTACCATGCAGCTATGGTAGCTCCTGTACTCTATTAATTGCCTACCAAACACGTCAAGAACTGCATTCGCGTATTTCATCCATTCTCTCGTAGGCAGAAGTTTCGTCTCCTTTATCCATAAGTTGAGGGCCATCACTGCAATCGCGACTGGTTTCTCAGACCTGTGTCATTCGTTTATATACACACACACAATCCAGGCCTTCAGTCGCTGAACTTGAAGAATCTTGCTTCGAAGACTTACCGCATCTCGTTCAATCACGCAGGGCAATTGAAAAACTTCCAGTCTCCCTTCCCCAACATAAGAATCAACAGACAAGAATAAGAACGAAGCCCCAACCACTCCGAACAATGTATTTCAAGGCGGTATCGCTCCTTCTGTTGCTCGCCCGCGTAGCCATCGCACAAACAGCCACGCTGTCTCCAACATCAACGGCTTCTTCCACGTCCGGTTCAACCTCTACGACCAGTCTGCCGGACTTGGTCAACCAGTTGCCCAAATGCGCTCTCTCTTGCCTCGAGTCGGGTGCCGAGACCATCGGCTGTTCGGTGTCTGACCTGACTTGTCTCTGCTCCAACTCTGAGCGCCTCATCGCCTCGGTCGGAGGGTGCGTTCTCACTTCCTCGTGCTCGTCGGACGAGGTGAGCCGTAAGTGAACCCTTTCAATCCTCCTCCTTAGTCCCAACCCCGCCCACTAGGCCAGGGGTTCTTTGGATAACGTTCCGTAAGACACAGAGTGCTGACCACTTTTGCAGAAGCTGCCGAGATCGCACCGCAGATCTGCTCAGATGTCAACGACAGCCCGAACGCGTCCGAGATCGCATCCGCCTCCAACTTCATAGCAGATGCTCTGTCCACGGCAGCTTCGTCTACCACGAGCGGAAATGCAGCGGCGCGGACGGATGTTGCCATGGGCGTGGTTGGAGCTGCTGCGGCGTTCGCGGCTTTGGCTCTGTGAGCATGAGCAAACGGCACACGATTGAACAATGGTGAGAAGCACACCGGGCATGGGAGGGAATCTGGCATTGTCCTTTGGAGTTTTTGGTCCGGGGACCACGGCGCAATTGCATCGTATCATGGTGGGAGATATTAGAGAAAGGACATCAAGGACAGGGCGACAACACATGTCGATGTTGAATCAAGGGTATCTATTTCCTCATATATATTAATGAGGCCTCCGAGAACTTGCTGGACAGGTAGACCTGGGCAATCCTAGGGACACATGAATACTTAGGAGATTACATGTGTTTTGCTTCTTTTCCTTCTTCCGCTTGTGCTTGTGTTCTTTTCCTCCACTGAATGTACTCTTTCAAATTGCGGCCAGTCCAAGAACGAACCCGGCTGCCAGAGCGAGCTCTCTTGGAACGGCGGTCGCCAATGCAGCTCCTGCTGTGGATGAGGAGGTGGAGGGGGCTGTCGTCCCCCCAATTGCACTCGTCGTGACGGTCGGCGGCGTCAGCTTTGTGTCCGTCTTGGTGCTAACGAGACTTCCCGTAATCGTCGTGGGTTGGCTGAGGCTTTCGGTCGTCGATTCGGTGGAACTGGCACCACTGGAGCCACTGGAGCCCGGAGTAAGAGGTTCGGTCGTGATCGGGATGATGACGCTGTCCTCCGTGACTTGGCCCCCGGAGGCGGTGGTGGTGGTGGTGGTGGCTGCAGCGAAACCGGGTAGGAAGCTGGGTGTGTAGGTCGCCGTGCCCTTGTAACCAGGACAGCCTGGGACGGTGGTCTTGGGCGGAGCGCGGCCGCCCCCGCAGTCGAGAAAGGAGCAAATCTCGCCGCTGTCTGGGTCGTACCAGATGTACGAGGCTCCTCCGTAGGCTACGGTCTCGGAGGAGACGCAGCCATCGAGATCCGTCCGTGCAAGAGTCGCTGGAAGACAGCAGAGCAGCCCGAGAAGAAGCCCCGCGAGCGATCTGGTAGAAGACATGGTGATGTGTGTATGAGTTGATGTGAGCAGTGATTGCCTGGGCTGTCGTGTCGTTCCGATTGTTGTGTCTAGACAAATTCGCGAAAGCTGCTTTAGACGCGTTCGGCGGCGCGTTTGCTTGCTTGCTAGTGGTAGGAAGGGCTATGCTAGAACAATGACGACGATGATGGCCATGTCTGTTCGATCACATCATCTCCTAGAAAGGCTTGAATGAGTTTCCAAACCCATTCCATTAAGTACAATGTTTTCTGAAGTATCGTCACGGAAATTACGCCCCTGAGGAAGCTAAAGCCATCAACGTCATTGTCAGTGGATCAGTACCCTGACAGGCCCCTGTTTAATAAGCTTACAGAGCCTAGCGCCGTTAGCGACCCGGAACCCCGGCTTTGTTAGAGCAGGGGTTCCCCAGGGCGGCTACCGAACTGCCTAGGTACTTTGTTTGCTTCTAGGGCAAGTTGTCGAAGACAATTTGAATTCAAGGAACCAATGTTGATAATTCTCACGTTCTTGCTATGGTCTTTGAAAGGCAGTCTCCCAGGCCACATAAGACACCAACAAGACCTGGCACATGAAGACTTCGGCTCAGACATCAGTCCAAATCTGCCAGGCTGGTATCCCCGTCCCCATCCCCATCGCCTTCGTCTTTCCAAGCGCCCATATCTGCAACTGGAACCCTCCCCCTGAGCCATCGCAACGTAGCCTCGGTGCCGCGCTCGAGGACGTTCCATCTTGGAACCCGAAAGCGATTGCCCATGACTTGGAGTCGTTCAAGCCCTCCTGAGCCGCCGAGAAGACCAATCCGGGGATTTAGGTGTGCAATATCATTGTTATCTGCGTCGACTATCCGCAGCCCTTTGATACTTTCTGGATCCAGGTCTGCTAAATGGTTGTTGGAAACGAGTAGCACCTCGAGAGCTGGAAACGTGTCGCGCATTTGTGGGCGGGTCGGAAGGGTAGCAATACGATTAAAGCTGACATCGAGCTTCTGCAGCCTATTTGCTCGAAGATGGTTGATCAGAGGGGAAAGGCTGGTGATGTGATTCGAGGCAAGATTCAGTTCCTTCAAGGCCGGTAGGTCAAGATTCTCGCCCCCGCCGAGGTATGACTCGCCTACAAGCTGGTTATGAGAGAGAGACAGTGACGTTAAAGAATC